TCCATTTATCAACATGAGATGACAGATTTACAGCTCTAATTAACCATTTTATAATTGAGAGAAGATATGAAATTTTCAATTTTAAGAGCTTAGATGCAAGACTGCAAATAAAACAATTTTTTAAACCACTAAGAAAGTTGTCATTACGATTGATTGATTGGTACTTAACGCCACTTTCTGCACTATGCGATGATGATTTGAATATAAAATATGGTTTCCCGGCCTTACTGTCATAAACGTTTCAAGTACGATTATCGTACCTTGACTCAGAACAGAAACAATTAATCAAAATACTAGTACTGAATTAGGGATACAAGATACGAGATACAAGATACAAGATATTTTTATTAACCAATCATGGTGCCCAAAATTTGAGCTTTACAATCAAATGCATTACAAAATAAAGTACAGTAAATGATTAGAATGATTAGAGTGATTAAAATACATTTAAACAAAAAACAAAGTAACATAATTATAAACAATGTCATTGACAAAACATTAAGTCATTTTGGAAGCCACTGTGACCTGGAGAAAATACGTTTCTTAATCAATTTATAGACCTAGGCTTATGGGAGACAACTCTTGGTCGACTTTTTCATTTTTCTATTTTATCAAACTATTAGGTGTTTCGAGCAAAAATTGTGTACTCCTAGTATTGAATAAAATTTTATTATTGTAAGGCAAGGACTCCTTTAGTCTAGACAAAATATCCATTCTCAGACGTGAGGGAGTCTTTAAAGCTGCTTTTATAGAAAGTCATTTCCGATTTGATTGAAGGCTTGGCGACATTTATTAAATTCAATTATATCAGATGTCCGGAGAGTACCAAGCAATATTCCACGCTGAATTATGAAGAACCCTTCTAACAATCTTATTGGTTATACCATTCCTGTAGGGTTCACATTATAATGCGAAAACACCAAACTCCAAAATGTGTGTTAAGAAATTGCTGAAATATTCAGAGTAAAAAGATTTCGTCATGTGGATCATTTTAGTGGGTTTTTTTTTAATTTTAAACCTAGCTCCCTAACATTTTTTCTGAAATTTAGACCCCGTTCACACTTGGACATTTAGATCGATTTAAACTAGATCGGTTCACTTTAGATCGATTTAAGCCCAATGTGAACGCTTTGAATCGATCTTGAATCGGTCTAAACTAAAACACCGAAGTACTGACTACTGAGCTGATGATACCCTCGGGGACTGATAGTCCACCAGCAGAGGTATCGACCCAGTGCTGTAAAAAATGAAAACAATATAAATTTAATGCGTCCGAAGCGCTTTTCTGGATTTACTTTCATCAAGAATTCTCAAAGCCGAATATTTGAAAGCCAAGGTTGTATAAACCGAAACAGTTGAATAGCTATATAATCAAAAATGACCTAAAATAATAGACAAATCCTTCTAAGGCCAACTTTGCTTGAGGGAGTTGTAACCTTAGTTTCTTTATAATTTCAAAATTTATAAACGGGCAAATTAGAAAGGTTTGTTATTAATCATGTCAGTAACGAATTTTAACATTTGTCATTTTGGGGCCTTTTTAAAGATTTCTATACGGTTTGGGTTTTGCTCATTTAGTTGTTAACTTCTACGTCATTTGATCTCTGGTGGAGAGCTAATACCTTTACCACATAAAGTTATCTTCAAATTAACATCGTATAACTTCTTAAAGTACTTACCAGTATATATAGAAGGAATGGCATACCTATAACTATAACTGTAACATAAGATTGTACTTGACAATGGTATTTGATGATTATGTTTAGATACATACACACGTGCATTTCAGACGGCAGATATAAAGAAGGTAGGGCAAAATATATGCTAGCAATTTTACATATAACTTTCTGCAAATTTTGGATTATATTCTTGAAAAAGGATATGTTATGCCCGAGAAAGTACTATTTCGTCCATTGACATTTTTCTTCAATACCAGATTTTTTTTTTAAACGCCGATAACTTTGCTGTGTATGCTTGATTACACAAAAGCAGAGACAACACTGATGGTGAATGAAGTTTTCGTTTAGTAGGTTAATATCCTACAGCTTATTTCAATGCAACTGTCACAGTTTTGCAGACGTCTTGACATCAAGAGAATAATGTAATTAAATCGAATAATTAATATTATCATTCCTGTTTATTTTGGATGTACTTAAACGTACAGTTGTCAACTGATAGATATAAAAATAAGAAGATGTGGTATGATTGCCAATGAGAAAACAAGAGACCAAATGACACAGAAATTAACAACTATAGTTCACCGTACGGCCTTCAACAATGAACAAAACCCATACCGCATAGTCAGCTATAAAAGGCCACGAAATGACAAATGTAAAACAATTCAAACGAGAAAACTAACGGCCTAATTTATGTACAAAGTAATGAACGAAAAACAAATATGATACACAGCAACAAACGACAACCACTGAATTACAGGCTCCTGACTTGGGACAGATATAGTTAGATAGAGCACTTATCGAAGTACAAAGGAGTTATCCCCTTCTAATCGCCTTGAAAAACAAAACAAAACAGAACAATAGTTAAAAGAAACAAACCCTATGAGGACTTTCAATAACAAATATTGGTTATTTTTTATTGATATTGTTTCACTTGTATTTTTGAAGATCTAAGAAAACCCAGATCAATCATGTCAATAAAATCAGTATTTCAGGGGCAATAACTCCAAAATGTGTGTTAGGAAATTGCTGAAATATTCAGAGTAAAAAGATTTCGTCATGTGGATCATTTTATTGTTTTTTTTTAATTTTAAACCTAGCTCCCTAACATTTTTTTCTGAAATTTAGACCCCGTTCACACTTGGACATTTAGATCGATTTAAACTAGATCGGTTCACTTTAGATCGATTTAAGCCCAATGTGAACGCTTTGAGTCGATCTTGAATCGGTCTAAACTAAAACACCAAAAGAGGTAGTTTAGTTTGAATCGATCTAAAGTGAACCGATCTAACTTTAAATGTGAACGCAGAGATCGATCTTAACTAGTACGATTGAATCGAAAACATTGTGTGCGCATGTATGGCTGAAAAATTACATGTGCAATCAATTACAAAGTGGATGTCCAACATGATGAAAAATAACGAAAACTATACGAACAGCAGTATCAACATTTGAACTTGGAATTCAAGTGAAACAAATACTCCATCCATTATTTTTTTGCAAGCGTGTGTATCAACACATTAATTCGATTACTAGTAAATTTTTCTATTTGTACAGTGTTTCAAATTTCACAGCGGTATAACATGTTACTTTAATTATTCTTCCCTTAGTTTATTTATTTTGTATTTGCATTGTATCATAGATCAAATTTATTTGTTCAGTGTATGTTCACTGGTATTAATATGTCTTTTGATTGAGTTAAGACATTTCAATTGATATTTTATAGTGTGTTTTTCTATGTTGTGATGTTACACTATTGTTTCAGATAAGGGTGAAGGTTTGGTACCATTAAAACGTTTAAACCTGCTGCAATTGTTAGCACCTGTCCTAAGTCGGGAATCTGATGTTCAGTAGTTGTCGTTTGTTGATGTGGTTCATAAGTGTTTCTTGTTTCTCGTTTTTTATATAGATTAGACCGTTGGTTTTCCCGTTTGAATGGTTTTACACTAGTAATTTTTGGGGCCCTTTATAGCTTGCTGTTCGGTGTGAGCCAAGGCTCCGTGTTGAAGACCGTACTTTGACCTATAATGGTTTACTTTTATAAATTTTGACTTGGATGGAGAGTTGTCTCATTGGCACTCATACCACATCTTATTATTTCTATTTACAATTTTCCGGGTATTTAGGTTAGATAGATTGCATTTTTACTTGTAGTGTGAACGCAGTGGTTCAGATCAGACCGATAGAGATCGTTAGGATTAAAGATAATGTGAACGCTAACTGGTTTTATTTAGTTGGGTTCAAATTTAAATCGATTAAAAAAATGCTAGTGTGAACGGGGTCTAAGATCTTTTTCTTATTTTTTTTCCAGCGAACCACCAAAAACTGCGAAAATTGGCGAAAAAGATACCTTAAAAACAATTACTTCAAAACATGTCATCAGATTTTTTTCTTCAAATAACTATTTCGGATTTTTATGACATTCTCAAGGTAAAAAGGACTTATCATGTTTATCATTGTTCCATCATTCATAAAGTTTTCGAAACAAGAACTGTCAAAGAATCTGTAAAATATTCACCTTTTATGAGGCAATAATTTCAACATGGTTTGGCCGATTTTCTTTGATTATCTGATAAACTAGAACTGACAATTTTTACCATGCCAGTTTCTCTTTTCGTTTATTTGCTACAGTTTTTGAGACAAAAACTGCAGTTTGACCTTTAGTTGAACTTTTAGCCACAGTGGTTATGCGATCTATAGACGATAATCACAACTTTTAGCCACAGTGGTTATACGATAATCACAACTTTTGGCCACAGTGGTTGGGCGATCTATAGACGATAATCACAACTTTTAGCCACAGTGGTTGGACGACCTATAGACGATAATCACAAACTTTTAGCCACAGTGGTTAGACGATCTATAGACGTTAATCACAACTTTTAGCCACAGTGGTTGGATGATCTATAGACGATAATCACAAACTTTTAGCCACAGTGGTTGGACCATCTATAGACGATAATCACAACTTTTAGCCACAGTGGTTGGACGATCTATAGACGATAATCACAAACTTCATCTTAAATATAATATAGATGAAACAGATAAAATATGTGACTTCAAGCCATATTACAATTTAAGAGATGAAGATTTTGGAAGAAAAGTTTACGGACGACGACAGTAACATTACCCTTTGCCAGTAGCAATGTCCTCTAAATAAAAGCGATTGTTAATTATTTTTTTCATTTGTAAACATACACCCTTTTAAAATAAATGCTTTGTATGTTCATATCGATCGATCTCTGGTTTGTACAAGTTTGTACCGGTTTGTTGGATGCGTGTAGTGGAGTGAAAAAGCTAATACAACAAAAACAAGCTTCATATATTATTTCCTGTGGCGTTTGAAAATGAGTCTAATATTTTAACAAAGCCGCCAGATATTATTGAACATTTGACAATGTTATCTATCTTTTCGCTTGAAATCTTTACAAACTGAGCACACCTCAGAGGTTGTTAGACCATTATAGGACATAAGACGATCAGTTAAATAAAAGTTAAACGTGTAAAACATTTGCTTTCACATATAATTCCGTAAACAGGTAGTTACAGAGATATTGTATAAGGTATGTGAATATTTCTATATTTGAATGCTTACGTTTGGACTGAAAAAAGCGAGCCGTTTGTGCACATCATTTTATTCACTTCCGTAGAAGTCATTATAATTTTTTTTTTCATTTTAAAGCTAGAGTAACTTTAAGGTTCATGTGGACCCTTTGCCTAAAATAGCTGCAATTTCACCTCAACATTTACTCTGAGTACACCGAAACCTGTGTATCTGGAATTTTTTTAAGCCATAGCATGCCTTAGATAAATAAAATTCAAATATATTTTATGTTTTAGAAAATTAAAAACTTGACAGGATTTTGCAGTGCACTTTTTTTCATTCCTCAAGAAAGTGCTAAAATAAATTAAGTTGGGAAAGAGGTTTGAGAACTCCCCCCACAGGTAATAATTGAAGTGAACTGTATTGATTGACATGAACAATAGATGGACAATAGATACCTGACAATAATTGGTAATTTAAACTGTGTACCGTCCTGTGTGGACCATATCAAGTGAAGTTCAACTGTTGGTAATTTTATCGTCTTCTGAATGGAACGAAAAAAAAGTGCACTGCAAAATCCAGTTAAATTTTAAATTTTCTAAAACATGCAATTCATTTGAATTTTATTTATCTAGGGCATGCTATACCTTAAAACTTTTCCAGATGCACAGGTTTGTCTGTACTCAGAGTAAATTTTGAGGCGAAAACGAGCCTTTTCAGCCAAAGGGTCTACATGAACCTTAAGTGACAACGTTTATATACATGTAGTAATAAGTAAAATCAATTAGAAAAAGAACCATATTTTTTACAACTTGTTTTATTCTATTCATAAAACTGAAAAGCATGAAAAGTATTGTAGACTTCACAAGAATAAGTCGAAGTTTCAGTTAAGATCAACCTCATCAAGATATACTAAATAGACATTTAAGGTGGTACCTAACACTACAGGGAGATAACTCTGTAAAAATCAGCTAAACGTTTTAATTACGTTGTATTGTTAAGGAAATATTAAGCTTCTCAATGATCAAAATTAGTGTTTGTCAAACTGCTATATAACCAATGAATTTTTTCTGATAAAGTGGTTGGTTCAAATTTTTTGAAATTTTTATATTTTTGTCAAAGGGTTAAAGTAAACATTTTGTCAAAATTTTATGAAAATTAAACGAGCCAAATTAATATTAGTCAAGGTGTTGGGTACCACCTTAATAGACATTTTTTATTTAAATGAATGAATCTTTACTGCATCAGCAACACTATTGCTTTAGCAAAATAACAAGGTATATAAAATTGAGAATGGAAATGGGGAATGTGTCAAAGAGACAACAATACATATATATCATAAGCTCTTGTCAGGCAAGATACATAAACATCATAGTACAATAATTATTATAAAACAGATTAAAAGAGTTTTCAGTGAATATACACAATACACAAACTTGGAAATAAAATAAAATGTGAGCAATATAGGATATTATAACATTATTAAGTGTGTAGTGTAATGAGGTCGATTTTATGAAAATAGGTATAAAATATATTACAAAGCAAAAAATAGAACAAGAAATATAGTTTCATATTTTGTAGTAGTTCTACTCATTATAAAAAGTAATCTCGAGATAGCAATTCAGTAAGACCATAACATCGACTAAAGAGTGTAACTATCTGCTTATTACTTAGCCTACGCTAGGTACACTGAATCTCAAATATTTTGTATTTTAGGTGAATATATTCAGAAACATGGAATACGACGCAATTGTAAACAAAATTGGTGGATTTGGTAAATATCAAAAGATCATCATCGTCCTACTCTCTATAGCACCCATATTTAATGCATTGACAACATTTGCTATGAATTTTACATTTGGAGAGCATGATCACAGGTGAGAATAAAAAACTGCATGCTAGCGATTGCAATTTGCACGAAATTTCCTGAAAACTTCGTCAGGTATGTTCGAGATAAAATGTTTGGAAAGCCTAAAATACGAAATAAACTTGCAATCATATAAACCAAAGGGCTTTAACAAAACGATGGATTAACTTTGCCAGATGAATCTGTTAAGTAGTACAATAACAATATTTCATGATCTTGAATTTATTGACAACATTATATTTTAATTTATGTCAGTACCCAGCCTTGACATGAAAAAAACAAAGAATATAGAAATGAAGACCCCCACCCAGACCCTCATTTATTAGATATACATGTAGACAAGTTCGTTTCATCAGCTGTTTTATTTTTTTTTCACAATATTTCCTACTGTATATATGAACTTCAGAATATTGTATGTATGATTCTTGTTTACATATGAATGGTCTAAATAAAATTTACATCTGCATTTTTGAACGAGAAAATTGTGTTTCTCGACACAATCATAGTTTTATACAAGAAATGAGCTGTCAAATGGACAGCATATTGGGTCATCTGTAGTGTGAAAGTAACCGAAACAGTGCCGTTTTCCAAACAAACAATGACCATAATTTCTGAACGACAAAAGTAAAAAGCGTCCGAATATCTAATTTGACCTCAATTTTGTAACAGTGAAACATTATAATTTGAAAAGCATTTGTTGAACGGTTCTCAAGTTATTGCACGGAAACGACATAAAGTGAGAATTTCTAATCGATCAAGAATCATAACTCCTGAGAGACTAAAACGATAATCGGCAATTTCGAACTTGACCTCAATTTTGTAATCAATAGAAACATGTTAAAATTTAAAGAGCATCAGCTGAACGGGTTTACTTCATTGCACGGAAACGAAATTAAGTGCCATTTCCCAATTGATCAAGGAACATAACTCCAGAACGACAAAAGAAAAATCGTCAATATAGAGCTTGATCTCCATTTTACAATCAGTAGCAGGATATTACAATTTGGAACACATCGGTTAAAATGTTCATCAGTGAAAGCACGGAATCAGCTGGAACCGCCCGTCCGCCCATCTGCCGTACATACAAAAATCAATAACCAGATATCCGTCGGAAAACCCGGTTAAAAACAGAGTCATGACAACTTATAATCACACAAAGAAAATTAACAACTACCAATTTCTCTCTCCTAATGGTTCCCACACGAAACACTGCAACCGGAGCTTTCCGTACAGTCAAGCCATCAGACCCAAGCGAATTTTCTTCTCGGAATCAAAACTTAACTACCGTTTGGGACGAATAAAGAATCAAGTTAAGTCATGAGGGAACAAGAACAAAAAAATCACGCTCAAAATAAAGCTCAAGAAAAAAGACAGAAAGATCCTTCTAGAATACAAGATATTCTACAAATAAAATTCCGTTTTTTGTTACCTTTCACCCCGATCTGATAATTCTTTCATCTATTGCCCGCAAGCAATGGAGACTTATTAAAATGACTCTGTCTTAAAAGAAGGGTTCCATCACCTCCTGTTATCGCCTTCCTTCAAGGACCAAAGACTAAAAAAATACCTCGAAAATCGAGGGTGTCAAACTTTGCGGAAGAAGCAATTATAAATGCGGTAAAGCCGCCAACAATGAACACAAATTCATCAGCACAGTTACAAAGAAGCAATACAGCGCCCAAACAAGATCCAACTGTTAAACGAAATTATGTATTTAAATGTTCTTACTTGCAAGCTGCAATATGTTGGCAAAGCAGAAACATAATTTAACATCGGATTCAATAATCAATCGGTCATTTTATACCAAAGGAAAAAATGCTCAATCACGAGATACCTCTTAAGAACAGGGCATTCTTATGAAAATATTCCCTTTCGAATTATAGAAGATAATCAAAATTGGAACACACAAGATAGAAAACAGAAAAAAAGAGATTTTGGATACATCAGCTATGTACTCATTAACCTGATGGACTAAATGAAAGAGACGAGAAACAGTTTTATAATAAAATCACAAACGAATAAGTCTTTGACGTCATACAGTTTACACAGCGCGATTAGATCTATTTGTACGAGCTGTACGATAAGCTAAAAAATTTCCTATCAGAATCCAATTTCACCTGGATAACTGCACGCGCTTGGTGAAGCCACTTTGTCAGCGAAATATTGCGTGAACCTACATGAAATATAATAAGAATAACTCCAGATAGTGTGTTAATGTTACATTTATTATATAAAAACATATGTATATGTATATATATAGTGATGTTGACCGTCTAAATATTTTTTTTTTAAAACACAAATAAAACATTTAATTTTATTACTACCAATATTACTTGTTTCATGACCTTCAACTATTTATAACCGTAACTTATACATACGTCGAAGAACTTATCTAACCAAAAAGGACATAAGATATAGCTAAATCCGGAAAAAGGAATCAGGGCTTAAATTAAGTTTCTTTCATATTGACCTAGCTTGCTCTATGCAGAGACTTTGATTACTAATCTGAAGAACTTATCAAACCAAAAAGGACCTAAAATATAGCTAAATCCGGAAAAACGAATCAGGGCTTAAATTAACTTTCTTTCATATTGACCTCGCTCTATACAGAGACTTTGGTTACTAATCTGAAGGTAGTAATCTTAATAACCCCAAGCTCCTTGTGAAGTATAAATATGATTTACAATTCTACCGCAACAATTATAGATGTGACCAATTATTTCAGTTTATTTCACCGGTATGTTAATTCATTGCATATATTTTAACTATAACTTAATCAAAGAGCTCGTAACGAAAAAGAATAAAAATAACACTGATCCACACACATCTTTACATTATTAGAGTTGAAGTCAGTCAGCTGTATAAAGAGAGATAACGCTGATTTAATCTTAATAAAGGAGAAACTTTAATTGTTGGTTCCTTGATTTGAATTTTTCATAAGTCATTATGTGTCAGCATAAGGGTTAAAACTCCTCGTTATTAATGTAAAACTACTGACACAAGAGGCTCAGTTTGAGATCTTGTCATAATATTTAGATATCAACTAAGGCCATTCCCAAAATAAAGTTTGCTACAATATCTCTCTTATTCAAGGATGGAAATATTATTCAAAGATCTTTTTGGGTAAAGCCTCTGGGAAAAATTTGGTTGATTATATAGGGAATCACTGAAGCATGACTAAAGGGGGCCCCCTCTTAGGCAGTCAGTGGGCCCACCGCCCTTATGAAAATTTCTGGATCCTCCACTGGAATCTGCAAGTCATAACTTTCTTAATTTATGGCACTAAGCGTATGATTGGTTTCAGTTACTTCTATGTTCTACTTCCTGTTCGCCGAATAAATATCTTCAGTGAGCAATTATATATCCTAGTGCATTTTCTACCCCAGGAATATATTACCTTAGGTGTATTTGCCAAACCTTTCGTCATTTTGGGTCCCCAATGCTCTTCAATTTCGTACTTTATTTGGCCTTTTTAACATATTTGATTCGAGCGTCACTGATGAGTTTTTTTGTAGACGAAACGCTCGTCTGGCGTATAAAATTTTAATCCTGGCATCTATGATGAGTTTATCTTTAACGCACATCAGCTTAAATAACATCGGTACCAATTTTACTACACTAGATGCGCACTTCGACAATAAAAGAGAGACAAAAGATACCAAAGGGACATTCAAACTCATAAGTCGAAAATAAACTGACAACGCCATGGCTAAAAAAGAAAAAGACCAACAGACAAACAATAGTTCACAAAACACAACATAGATAACTAAAGACTGAGCAACATGAACCCCACCAAAAACTGGGGGTGATCTCATGTACTCCGGAAGGGTAAGCAGATCCTGCTCCACATGTGGCACCCGTCGTGTTGCTCATGTTTGTACAAACCCAGTCTCTTCAGTAATGTTCGAGACCAAAATAAAAACCGCAACTTATACATACGTCGAAGAACCTATCAAACCAAAAAGGACCTAAAATCCGGAAAAAGGAATCGGGGCTTAAATTAAGTTGCTTTCATATTGACCTCGCTCTATACAGAGACTTTGGTTACTAATCTGCAGGTAGTTGGCATAAAGTGATAATCTCGATTTTTTCATGCCAAGATAATTCAAATTCAACGAATTGACTGGAATCTTAAATGTATCTGGAATTTGCAATGCTCGTCGTTATAAAAAAATATTGAAATGTGGTATGATTGCCAGTGGGCAGATATCAACCAGAAACCAAATAACAGTGGATGTAAGAAACTAAAATAAGTTTCGTCATGATTGGCTGAACACTGCATTGCATTGTTGAAAAATCTTGTTAAATGCATCATTTTACAATATTTTAAAGTAGTATTTACTCGAAATTTTAGAGACCTGAAGGTCACTTGTCACTTGTAAGCATTATGAAGAAGGTACGAAAGGCGAATTCTCAAGGTTATGCCAATACAATAACGCCGGGGTGATAATATCGATATACAAGGTGTCATCCGAACTTATAATGGATACCAATATTTGTACAATATTATGTTACACAAAGAATGTTTTTACAGAATTTTCCATTTATTGTTTTTTCTTATTGATCCTATTTTCTATATCTAAAATAGTAAACTATTTTCTTTTGGGAGTCAGATGTAGCATACTCCAGTCCTAACAACTATACAAAACGATTGGCTTTATTGTATGTTAAAAAAATGAGCAGTTAAGTCTTTAAAGAAGGTGAGACTGACTAGATATTTGTATAAAATGTGAAACTGGCCTTGTCTTTTTTCAGTAGACGTTTTAGTTTTATTATATTTACCAATATTAATAAAAACCAAACCAAAATATTGATAACATTTGATAGAACTCGCTCTTTTACCAAATTGATAATTGTTTCTCTAATACGTTCATTTACGAACTAGAGTACAAGTAACTGGTGTATCATGGAGTAGAAAACTATTTTTTCTACAAAAATATTATTTGGTACTCGTAGTGTTGCTACTCCGTGATACACCAGTTAGGCAGCGTTATTTCTGATTTTTATACAACAGGGTATTCTTTTAAACTTCTTACCGTTTTACCATCACGAATTGGTTGACCGATATGATGTGTCTGTGTCTTAACGCATTAGCGACATATATTGCGGTCTTAGATTTTTAGATCCTAAAATAAATGTCTGATCTGTAGGTTTACAAAGTGTACCCTATACCTTATTGTAGCATTTTAAATGAGTGTGAATTCGCATGGCGGGTGATGCATGTATTGCAGGAGACGCTAATACCAGCGACGCACCCGGTTTTGTTCCTTTTGGAGTTAAATTCGAAAAAAAACACCAGCGACGCACCCGGTTTTGTTCCTTTTGGAGTTAAATTCGAAAAGAAACAAAACCGTGTGCGTCGCCAGTTTAAACGTCTTTGTTTATTGCAATTCCCTCAGTTTTTGTTTGTTACCTTGATTTTTTTTATGAGATTTGAACATCAGTAAAATACTGATGACAAGATTGACTTCCGAATTCAACTTTACAACCATAGTACTAAGTTTCCCAGTAATTATTGGATAACATATAAAATTGAGAATGGAAATGGGGAATGTGTCAAAGAGACAACAACCCGACCATAGAGCAGACAACAACCGAAGTCCACCAATGGGTCTTCAATGCAGCGAGAAACTCCCGCACCCGGAGGCGTCCTTCAGCTGGCCCCTAAATGTATCCTTTGATAGTCTTTTAGTTTGGAAATGTCGAATAAAGTGTCTTGTCCAAACAGTTTGAAAAGTAGTTATTGTAATTGATCTTAGTTGTTCACCAATTTAAATTTATATATGTGTGTTGCTTAGAATTACCTTTTTTACACAGATGCCGACCGCCCCATGATCAGGAAGGAAACGAATCTCTACACAAACAAATATACTTTGAAAATACATCTGTAATAGTTACTGATCACGAGTATAATGTAACGAAATGTTCAATGATGATAAATGGATCTGAAACTAAATGTAGCAGCTGGGTATATGACCATAGTGTATTTGTAGAAACCATCATATCTAAGGTAAAGTAGATATACTATCTTGTTAATCGTCAATATGTAGCATAAGCCTAGAAAATGAAAGAAAAAGAAAAGACAGTAATCAAGTCTACATAAAAATATAATGGAAATAAAAAATTGTTGCAGGGTTGCTGAATCGGAGGAAGACAGTGGTGTAAATGTGTCAGTGAGCCGTAAAGATATTCAAAGTGTTTTTTTTTCATCTTATAATATGCTCCAAAGACATTTCATTTTGTTGTGTCCCCTTGACTGACATTTCTATATCTATCATGATTTTCAATCGCACAAAAATATGCAGAACAATACTGAAGCTTAAATTGTCAGGCTAATCGATTGATATTTTTGTGTTTAAGCTCAAATTTTATACAACGTATAATACCCGACGGGAGCGGTCTGTGAAAACTCATTCCTGTTTTTTGTGAAATTCTTAAATTCGCTTCAGATTGCATTGGTTTTATATTTTTATACTAGAGATTTTCCATTACAATTAAATTCTATGAATAACACTTTCTTGGGAACACAGCATATTCTGTTCTATTCTATACTACAATTGTAAAGACAACAACGTCTTTGAAATTTCCTTTTAAATTTGCAATTTTTCAATTTTAATTATTGGTTTAATCAATTGAAGGCCGATGGATAAAACTGTTTGTTTGTGATTCAAAACTGACTGTTATATCTATACAGTAATATCTTAATTTTAAAATAAATAACTTTATATATATAGTTTTTAAAAAATAACGAACAGAGATATTTACTACCAATTATGTCCTGTTACTTTTACTGAAAAATGTTTACTTCTTTCCAAAACGGAACTCTTTTGTGATGACATCAATCAAGGAGTTTATCAAGACAAAATGAAAAGGGAAAGGGCAAAATTGCTTAGATAAAACCATTTTTGTTAGAATAGTCAAGTGACTGATTAGGACTGTACATAACGCGTACCTTTACAAAACTTTAAAAAACAAAAAAATATCAGCAAAATAAGATCTACAAGTAAGTCAACATTGCCAAATTGCCACACTAGGTATAGGATTCATTGCCATTAATTGACTTTTTTTTTATTATGTCAAAACATTAATAGATATATATAAACAGTACAAATGATCATCAATACATGACATAAACAAATTCCACAAATAAGCAACCATAACTGATTGCAAAAAATTAAAACAACACTTTATAAATGTTATGCGTCGGAAGAAATTTTCTGGATTTACCTTCATCTGGAACGCTTAAAGCCGAATATTTGAAAGCCAAGGATGAATAAGAACCGAAGAAAAAAATATATCATGGTATATAATGGTATACTTTTTACCTGGTGAGCGATTCAGGCTCTTGGGAACCTGTTGTTTACTTTATAAAGTTGGTTTCGCAGGGGATCGTCAATTCATTGGAAATCTCTTATTAAAAAAATATATACATACCGTATCGTTTTGCTTTCAGTTTGATGTTGTGTGTGAAAAAAAGTTTTACCGAGCTCATTTCTTAATGAGTCACTATCTTGGTCTTCTTGTTGGATCATTATTCACTGGTTTTCTGTCGGACACGTAAGTATGGAGTTTTTCCACTTCGAATTGTTTGAGGGGCAATATCATCAATGTTTTCCCCTGTTATTCTATGTAATTGTACATTTTTCCAAATCATTGTGCGTAATTTACCTTTGATCCATATAAAGAAATAATTTGCCTGAACAAAACTTAATCGTTTTTAGTACTACAGTAAAAATTTCACACAACATCCCATTTAGTATAAAAATAACTTTCAACAGCAGTAAACTAGGCAATGATCTCTACTTTCATTTAATGTTTAGTAACAAGATGAACTCGTGTTTTTTAAGACCATATGAAAAAAGACAGTGACCTTTAACGGCCAATGTATGTGTTTATGACTCAGAAAATACGGTCGGCAATAGAATGCAGGGATGGGTTTTTAAAACTGTAAAATGGTAGGGATTATTTGGTTTGTACTATTTTAACATTAAACCTTGTGAGTTTTTTGGTGGTAGTACACCCTAAGCATGCATTATGAAAGAAATATGTTTGTTGAAACACTTGAAAAGTTCAGCCGTATAATGTTGATTAAACATGTTAAAGAATGTTATGATGAACAAATCGAGCTCTGATACTCGCTAGGTATGTTTTTCATTTTACTTCCGATTCATTTATATCAGTTCTTTTTATTTATAATAATCAGTGTTTACTCAATGTATTTGGTGTGGTGATCTTTATGCCCTTTCGTCATTTTTTCTGTAAGATGACTGTTGAAAGTACTTTTCCTTCTAATAAAATGGCATCCTTCATATCCATGACAGTGGATGATGAATTTGGCAATTTCTCATGGTACCTGCTAAAAACGGTAACCGAATGACCATGATTATAAATAGTCGTTTTTATTTTATGGTTTAAATATGCATTAACGATATCAAGTTTAGCCGTACTGGCATGCACATACGGCATTTGCTGTTATAAATTTTGGAAATCATTATAAATTAACGAATGCATCTCAGTCACGTGTGCCTATGATTCCTTGACCGGGTTTAGCCCTTCTTTTGGTCCTTTTTAGTTTTATCAGCTCTTCAACGTTTGAATTAGTTTTTCTGTTATTCTGGCCTCCGTCATCACTGAAGGGATACTAGTTGTCGGAAAACGCACCTGGTGCAGTTAAATTGGAACCGTTAATGTTATTAACGTTTGAATTATAAAACTATGATTTAATTTGGAGTCGTTTTTGTTTGCACTAAAGAAAGTCAATCTACATCTGTTTTATTTTTATTGATGTAGCAAGAACAAAAAAATTGCCTTACTGTACAACCAGTTTTTTTCAGTCGTAAATATTAACACTATGACTTTCTGAAACTTTAAATGTTGCTAAATTTTATATTGTGGCTTCTGTGTGTTAAATAAAGGCAACAGTAGTATACCGTTGTTCGAAACTCATAAATCGATAGAGATAAAAACAAATCCAGGTTACAAACTAAAACTGAGGGAAACGCATCAAATATAAGAGGAGAACAACAAAAACACAACATTGAAATGTTAACAGTTTGCATGTAAACTAAATGTGTAGATTATTTTCATAGGTTTGGTCGTAAACCTTTACTTGGTCTTGGCATAGCTCTTTTACTGATATCAACGGCTGTAAGACCTTTGATTCCTAGCTTAGACGTAGTGACAATCTTTGAGTTTTTCAACGGTTTTGGGAGTGTTATATACTACATAGTTCCTTATGTTCTAGGTAAGTTACCATAAGTTATAATAGTTGTGACATACAATAAACCATATTTTCTAGCTTCGTTAAATTCATTCATACTGGTATTCAAATAGAGCATAGCCGCGGTGTATATACAATACACATATCCGCATAGTACATACAAAACACATAACAGCACAGTATAGACAATACACATATCCGCACAGTATATACAAAACACATATCCGCGCAGTTGATACAATTAATCACATTTTCTAGCTTCAGTAGTTATTCAACCTTATTTGTAGGCATATCAAAAGGGAGCATAGTCGAACTATTCAAAATTTGCACATATCCGCACAAATGATACAATAAATCTGACATATAATACATCAAGTTTTTTAGCTTCAGTAGATTTTTCTCCTTGTGTTGGTCATATTTAAAGGAAGTATATTCGAACTGTTTATATTTTGCACATATCCGCCCAGATGTTACAATAACTCTGACATACAATAAACCACATTTTCTAGCTTTGATAGAAGTTCAAACTTAATTTTAGTCATATTTAAGCGGAGCATAGTTTCACTGTAGACTATTATTTTGTATATCAGCACAGCTATTTGTTTTCATATCGACCATGAATCGATATTATATATTCCAATTTAAAGGAAGGAAGAATATATATATATAAACATAAGATCAAGTTACAGTAAAAAGGTTTTGAAATAAATACGAGTAATTTACTGAACTTTTATTTTACTGATAATTTATCTAAAAAGTAAAATAACAAAAATACCGAACTCCAAGGAAAATTCAAATCGAAAAGTCCCTTATCAAATGGCAAAATCAAAAGCTCAAGGACATCAAACGAATGGAAAACATCTGCCATATTCCTGACTTAGTACAGGCATTTCCTTAAGTATAAAATGGTGGATTAAACCTGGTTTTATAGCTAGCTAAAACTCTCACTCGTATGATAGTCGCATAAAGTTCCATTATATTGAATATATTGTTTTAAAGAACCTTTTTTTTTAAATCAAAATTAGTCAGGAACACTAACTAGCGTTCCCAAAAGTTTGGAAAGTCAATGTAACATGGGCATTGACAATATAAACCGAAAACAGATTGCATACATTGTTAAAAGAACAGTCAAAATCAGCCACGGTCAGTTTTGCTTGATTTGCTTTCGTGTTTGCTTTGGCTAAGTCGTTTATTTTTGTCGTTTTTTGTTGATTTTCATTAGTACATTACCCGTAATTTGAGAGAATGGAATAAATAAAGGTACATTAGTATTTCTCCTCAGGATTATAAAAAAAATACGACAAACGGAACAAAACAATCAGCTGCTAGAATATGTCCTTTATATGTAAAAATTAAGGTTGTACCAAAGAAAACCTGACAGAAACCTGCTGCAAGGATCCGTTTTATTTTGCAAAAAATCAACGAGCCCGAGAACTCAGGGTTTATGCTGTATGGCCTTGTATTATTCTATTTTTAGCTACAGAGATGGTAGGGCCGGATCACAGACTTTTTGTATCGTTCTGTGTGTATTTCTCGTTCTGTTTTGGCAACTACATTTTGCTTTTATTAGCATTCTTCTTCCGGAATTGGGAACATCTAATGTGGGCTATTGGTGTTCCTATTGGTGGATACATTATAGTTTTGTTGTAAGAATAGAGTCTTTTTTTTAATTGATGTTTTTGTTTTGCATTTTAAATAAGGAGACTGTCTTAATTTAGGCAACAATAGATTACCGGTGTTCAAATCTCATAAATCTGTTAAGAAGATAAAAAGGCAAGGTAGCAAACTAAATCTGAAGGAATCGCATGAACTCCAAAAGGAACGAGACCGGCTGTTTCGAACGAATTAGAATGTCTTGCTATGCATGCATCTACCGTCGTATGAATTCACTCTCAGTTTGAGATATCACAATCGGGAATATGACAAAATTGGTAAAATTACAGATCAAACGACTTACCGTGTATCGAAAGTTTTAAGACGGCTAACAAAGACCAAAGGAGAATAATATGGCACTAAACACTTGTCTCTAATAATTATAAAGAAATAATCTGTACCTTTTCATCATTCACATTAATTATGATATCTTACACTTAGATTTTCTTCTTATGCTTTTTATCTTCATATTGTTTTAGCAACAGAGCTCGTTGGGCCTAAACACCGACTTTTTGCCTCGTTCTGTGTGTATTTTACATTCTGTATTGGCTGTTACATTTTACTTTTATTGGCATTTTTCATCCGCAATTGGGAACATTTAATGTTGGCTATCAGTGTAATTATTGGTGGATACATCATAATTTTGTTGTAAGAATAATGTCTGATGTTCCAAGCAGTCATTTTTCTAATGCTGAAAATAAAACATGCTTTTGGAGATAGACATCTATGAGCTTGGTTATATTCAATTCCAAAAATAAAACATGCTTTTGTGAAAAGACGCCTATGTGCTTGGTAATATTAAATTCATATTAAAAGTCAGAAGTAATTTCTAAAGGAAAATTGGGCATTGACTAAAGAAGGGATAAACATATGTATGGGTGTTACTAATAAAATATTGCATATAACAATTAGATAATCAAGCATGTGAATTGTGAGACTTTTTAATATACAATAACAAGCATTTTCAGTTAAATTTAGTTTCACTTGAATTAGAATAATAAAAAAAAAAAAACCACCACAACATAAAGCATTTACACCTTTATATTTATTTCATATGCACTACAATGAAACTTCTTGTATAAAAGGGACTGTATTGATACTTTTGACTGTAATGTTGAACAGAGAAGGTTCCGACGAAATAATTTTTCAAAACAATTTACATTAGTTATTGTTATTGTTTAATCATGCTTGGAAATAGTGTTTCTTGAAATCTAGAATAATTAACTTATTAGATTATTCATACATTTATATCTTTTAATCTTTTTTTCGGACGAAGTTGATGACAGGGTGCGATAAGGGCATTATCGGGCCTCATTTTTCAATGAAATTCAAAAGTTTAACTTTATATATGTTAAAGTTGAATTATAACAAGCTAAAAAAGCACAAACCTAGCTATCACAAAAAAGGCCAACAATTATTTACTACTTCAATGTTTCAAGCTAGACAGGGACCTTAGCATGAGCGAACATCATCCTTTCAAGTTTGTAATTTTATTTGAGCACAAGTAGGAATTAGAATGCTTGAATGTTAGAGTTAATTCATGCAAAATATTGGAAGAAAAAATGAACATCAGATTTTAAAATCATCAAATTAACACACTTTAGTGAAATGTCCAAATACTTTTATAGATTTATTTCTGAATCACCTCGTTGGCTGTTGAGTCAAGGAAAGCGAAAAGAAGCAATTGCGATTTTGCAAAAGATTGCCAAAACTAATGGAGAAAACATCAACCTCTCGTCTGAAGATATAACTGTCCATAAGGAGAAAAATGCATCAATTTTCAGCTTCGTGAAAGCATTAATGAAATCGAAGATATTATGCATGCGACTGTGCATAGTGGCACTGAACTGGTAAGAAAACTAATGTTCATAGTGTAAATCTGATATGTAAATCAAATCATGTTTGGTTAACAATATGAAATGGCTTCATGTACATATATTTATTCATTCGATTGATTTCATTTGTTTTAAGAAAAAAAGTATAATAATAAATGTATAGCTTAAAGTAGTATATTACTTTTCTTTTATGCTGATACGTTTTCAATAAATATATTATAATGATATCGCAGTATGTAACTAATAATATTGCTGATAACCACAATAATATAGGCATCATATAGTAATAAAGAGATGTATTTTTCCTTTATTATATTTTCTTTCCCTTTTCGGTTGGAAAATATGATGAAAGAGGCAAAAGATAACATAGTGATATTTCAACAATGCCATGAAAAAAATATGATGAAAGAGGCGAAAGATAACATAGTGACATTTCAACAATGCCATGGCAAAAAATATGATGAACGAGGCGAAAGATAACATAGTGACATTTCAACAATGCCATGGCAAAAAATATGATGAAAGAGGCGAAAGATAGCATAGTGACATTTCAACAATGCCATGGCAAAAAAAAAAAAACGAGAAACAACGAAAAGACAAACACCAGTACACAATATATAAAACTTAGGACTGAGCAACACGAACCCCACCAAAAACTGGGGGGGTTCTCATGTTTTCCGGAAGAGTAATCAGATCCTGCTCCACATGTTGCATCTGTAGTTGTTGCTCATGTAAGTACACCACCGGTGATAAGTTTTATTCGGTTGGTCACATTCAAGGAAAAGAACACGGGATTGTAGTTGCAACAATTGGAACATATCCGTCGTCATCTGTGAAAACAGATATTCCAAAACCGTCAACCAACTCGTGGTGGCGTCCGTAAAATTTTCGAAGGGATGATTTCAACTTCACCACATGGAAATCATTGTTCAATATCTCCCTTGTAAGCAGCAACCCTCTATCAAGGCATTCATGACAGGATATGCAAACTCAAGAATATCGTATCAACTGGGATATATATACTGCATATGCAGGAGCTGCTGGAAAGTTGATATATAGAAAAGGACACTTCACAGTTTGCAAGCTGAAATCAACACTTCTGTCGTAAAGTATTGTTCTCACCCGACCCTCATTGCCAATTTCTAGTTGTAAATCAAGCTATGAGGCAGACTTCTCTGTATCCGTTATTTCAAGTTTGACGGTCGTTCTGAACATACATGGAATATTTGCCACTGGACGTTAAGCAACCAACAATCAATTAAGCTTGATGGGATAGATTCGTTCAACATAGTCACCAAACTTTGAATTATTAAGTGAAAGGACATCTCCTATATAGCTGAACGTGAAGTTAAATGTTAATGGTAGCTTTATTCCATTCGTCCTTTGAAGCTCCTGCATGAAGTTAGCCGCATATAAATAAAGGAACAAGTCGGCAAGAAGAGGAGCACAATTGGTTCCCATGAGAATGCCGATTGTTTGCTGAAAAAAAATATGTCCTCCAAACTTTACTTATATGTTGTCAATCAAGAAATCAAGTGTCTAGATATGTCAGTTTCAGAGAATTTTTTGTTTGAATCAAGAGTGATCAGATAAATATTTATATACGGAAAACATTATGACAAAAATCTCACATGTGACAAGTATTAATACTTTGAAAGAAATCTTCTCTATTTTGTTTTGCAGGTTTGCACTCAGTTTGACATATTATGGAATATCAATGAATGTTGCAAAATTTGATGGAAACATTTACGTCAATTTTGGGATATCCAGTACAGTGGAAACAGTTGCATGTTTCTTTTGTTTATTGGGTCCAGATAGATTTGGGCGAAAAGTGTTTTTCTGTTCATCAATGGTTATTGGTGGTCTGACATGTTTCTGTACTATTTTTACGTCTCTTTATGCATCTGAATGTAAGTATATGTTGACACTTACAGGGAGGTTCGACGACCCTGCTATAACAGCTATTATGGGGGGTAATCACAATCTAAGTCGCACATTAATAATTTAAAATTGTATATAAATTAAAGTTCAAATTTTTAACAATTAACTGCATACGTTAGTATCAAGTAAACATTAAAGCACGCGTTTAAGTCCAGTAAAAAAGTTTTGTCAACTTCGGGTTTCCGGAACCAATAAATAAGTTATTGTTTTTAATTTCAGAAATTATTTGTAAATTATTTTTCTGTCATATATATGATCGATAAGACTCATTTCAATTGTACCGTACTATTCGCTGAACTAGAAAAGGATGCATACGGACATAATCATAAATGTTCAATGAAATGAGTGGAAAGAACAGTGTGAAATGAACAAAATTTATATTCTTCTCTTCATCTTGGAATATGACAGTTGTTTTCCATTCGCCTGATGTGTTTGAGATTTTGATTTTGCCATTTGATAAGGGACTTTCGGATTTGAATTTTCCTTGGAGTTCGGTATTTTTGTTATTTTACTTTTTTTGTAAAGTCTAAAATTTAACAAAAGGTGTAAAGTTCATTGAAAATGAAAAATGAACGGCAAGATTATGACAGGTAGCATCAGATAAACAAGGGGAAATACAAATCGGAAATAACTAAAACATTTCCACAATATTCGATAATTCATATACCCTTACAGTTACATTCACGAAAAGCTCAAGATTTGTCAAGTAGATAAAACATTTTATGATGATTATTTATTAGGTTTATCAATTCTACTTGATATTGAGACAAGTTGGATACGGGTACTGTTCTACCGGTAATTACAAATAAATTAATGAATGAAAAATCTTGAATATAAAAATTGCATGAAATCGATTTCACCGAGTCTAGAAAAGAAAATTAACTGTGGACGACACTTTAATGAAATTCAATATTACACATTTACAGATTGTACAAGGAGTATGCATACATATCCAACAAAATGTGTGTTTGCTTATAAAATATGTTTTATAAACCATACTTATAATTACAGCTCTTAGTTGGTTGACAATTACTTTAGCAATGGGTGGGAAATTCTTTACAACCATTGCCTTCTTCTTTGCATATCTGATAACGGCGGAATTATTTCCAACTGTATTGAGAGCATCAGCGCTTGGGTTATGCAGCATGTCAGGTCGAATAGGATCGATTACCTCAGCATATATAGGAGAATTGGTAAGTGTTTAGGTATTACTTCGTCATTATGTAATTATAATTGTCTTAGAAATTAAGAAGACAATATTTTCTAATCCCGTGACATTTGGTATTTTTTACGTCGACTTGGCTATAAGGTATACATAGGAAATGTATGGATAGACACCGTTAAATTAAAAAAAAAATACATGCAAACAAATTATCCTGTGAAAATAAATCGAACAAATTACATGTAAGTGTAGTCAGTAAGGGCTATTTGGTCTCAAAATATGAAAGTTATTTTGATAATTGTCATGAAAAATTGCACAGAAAACAGGGATTACAAAAATAGATAAATTACACATAATATCCAACGCATATTACTATGACCAATTAATGGTCTGAATGTCAATTTTCTTTTAAATGACACATGCAGTTCATCTCTTCGTGATATATTTGGTTTTTGTCCCGCCTTGATGGAGTCAAAAAGCGAGACATAGGTATGCTATTTCCTGCGGAGGCGGCAGCAACAATGTATTAGTTTGTGATTAGGTCTAGTTTACGGTGAACCACTAGTGATAAGTCAATGATATTTGGTATGCAGTTGTATTATCATTTGCATATCTCATATCCATGGAGATTACTTGGCCACGCCCTCTCAGTCATGGTCTGTTGACTTTGAAACTTTGCTTATATAAATAAGAAGATGTGGTATGAGTGCCTATGAGACAACTCTCCATCCAAGTCACAATGTATAAAAAGTAAACAATTATAGGTCAAAGTACGGCCTTCAACACGGAGCCTTGGCTCACACCGAACAGCAAGCTATTAATTGCTCCAAAATGACTAGTGTAAAACAATTCAAACAGGAAAACCAACGGTCATATATATATATAATACGAGAAACAAGAAACACCTATGAACTACACCAACAAACGACAACCACTGAACAACAGGCTCCTGACTTAGGACAGGTGCATAAAAATGCAGCGGGTTTAAACGTTTTAACAGGCACCAACCTTCACCATAACCAGAGACAGTAGTGTAACATTATAACATAAAAAGACACACTATAAAATATCAATTGAAATGGCTTAACTCGATCAAAAAGACATTTAAACAAAAACAAGTTAACATACACTGAACGAATAAGTTTGATCCATGACACAATATAAATACAATATTAAAACGTAAGTGCCTATATAACATAGACGTTACAGGTAGTAATAAAAAGATGTAAGAAGCGTGTCAATAAGACAACTATTGACTTTGAAACTTTTGCTTAGTTTACATGTATTAGTTTGTGATTAGGTCAGTTTAAGGGGAACCGTTAGTGGTAGGTCAATGATAATTGGTATGCAGTTGTATAAGCATTAGCACATCTCATTTCCATGGAGAATATTTGGTCCTAACATCTCAGTCATGGTCTATCGACTTTCAATCTTTTGCTTAGTTTACATTTATTAGTTTGTGATTACATCAGGTCAAGATGAACCACTAATGTTAAGTTAATGATATTTGGTATGCAAATGTATTGGCATTTGAAAGTTTCATTTCCATGGAGATTATATAGCCCCATCCCCTCATCATGGTTCATTAACTTTTACACAGTTTACAAGTTAATGTTTGTGTTTAGGTTTGTTTAAGCGGAACGACTTATGAAAGTCAATGTTATTTGGTATGCAGTTGAATTAGCATTAGCACATCTCATTTCCATGGAGATTTTTTAGACCTGTACCCTCAGTCATGGTTCATTCATTTTGAATATTTGCATAACTTACTTAATTTCAACATTTGCATTATCAAAATAACAAATAGACGACACATATCTCTGTGTTAACAGTTTATCAAATGTATGTACTTTACCGATTTTATAAATAGATTAAAACAGCATTGCGATAGCCAAAACATACTAGTGTATAAATATTCAAAGAAAGGAATAAAAACTAATTCTTGATCTTATTTATATTTCAAAGGATTCATTTATTTCAACACAGTTCGGTAAAGCTTTACCATTGATTATATTTGGAGCCGTAGGACTGTTTGCGGGACTTCTTGCTGCTTTAGCCTTACCAGAAACAGTCAAAACACTGCTCCCAGAGTCAGTAAAAGACGCAAAGACTTTAAATAAGTATGTTCATTTGTACTTTTTAGTGAAACATTGTGTATAATGTAAATGAAATTGAAAAAAAAAAAACGTTTTCTTAATTATAACATATTGATTGCACATTTTAAAATTCATGACAAATAGGAAGCAATAAGTTCTAATTAAGACTGTAGTCATGTTTGCAATACAGTCATTTCTGATATTTCAATACACGGGTTTCTAACTTTAATTATGTGTTTGTATGCATAGATGGGTACATACATTCAAAGTAAGTAATGCAAAAAGACAAATGAAAAAAAGAAGGAAATTGAAAGAAAGCTGATAGTATTGATATACATGAACAGAAAGAACGTCAGAAATAATAAATGAAAACAAAATATTCACCTTTAGTCCGCGCAGTATTTATTCGAGGGTCGTAATGGGAGAACTCTCATGACGAATAACGGTAAAAAATCTCGCCAAATGACGTTAACGGTAATTTTTGGTGCATGGCGATAAAATGTACACTTTCTATATGACGATAACAAAATTGACTAATTTTGACGAATCACGTTAAATTCTTTCCAAAAATAACGGTAACGGTTAATTATTTGAGACTTCTGACGAATCACGATAAAATTTAAACCAATTTGACGCTAACGGTAGTCGAAAATGACCGTTTGACGCCTGACGGTAAAGGGCATTCCTACCCTCTTATTCCATATTCTGATTTTTTTCAGTAATCTAACACAAGAAGTAGAACATGTGCAGGAATTGGATTCATTAAAGGAAACAACGTGATTACACATATATTACACATATATTGGAAATTGATATCACTGCCTATTGTTCATAGTTTTTGTAATAATAAGTAACATTTTTTTAAACTTTTAAATAAATAAGATATCTTTATTAATAAAAGAAGTTACCAAACCCACTGTGTTAAATATGGAAATTAAAATGGGAAACGTAACCCATACACGAACAAGACAGTTGTAAAGACAAGTAGAGACACACTAAACCGAACAGCAAAGACTTTAAACTAAAAGTTTTGACAAAAAAAAGGACAAAAACAAATTAGAATTTAAGGTATAAGAATGATATGCATATTCTGTTTCACATGCGACACCTGGGCTTTCAGTCATAAAACTTTACTCAGTTCTCACAGTAAAAAATGTGTGCTTGAAACACCAAATACAGTATATTGATTGGTTGATTTTCGAGTCTGAGAACAATAATCGTAATCAAAAGTTTTATGACCGCAAGGCCGTGTGTATGTATCGGTGGGCGATGCCTATAGTTAATATAGTTTTATGATATAAGTCTAGATATAAGGATATGTTGTATGATTGCCAATGAGACAACTGTCCATTAAAGACCGAAGGACAAAGTTGTTTAATCGCCGACATTTCAAAATCAGTAAAAGGATGGCGACCATTAAGCTTTTGTTGTGATTACATCAGTGGAAGGGATCATGTGCGGTGATGGTGGTGGGGGAGGGGTTCAGGATGATTTTGGAAATGAATATTCTGTCCCGGCAATAACAGGGATTAATAGCTTTGTCAAAGACAGGATGAAAATTGCTAGTATGTCCAACAACATGCAGGACAGTACTGCAATTACTTGTGTACAATAGTGAAAATAAATTTTCGCGCACAAACAAAGTAACTGTAGTAGATACAAGCTATTGAAAGCGAACGGACTGTTTCGTTGTATACAACATAGGCATGGGTGAAGGTATGTTTCCACATAGAAATTAAGAAGTCCTAGTTCAAACACTCAAGTTATCACGTGTGTCATGTTTTGTTGTCAAAATTCCAAGGGGTTTATTACTTTGTGAAAGTCCAGGCATGGCGAATAGCCAATTTGCTCGTATTTACTTTAGTTTTAGCTCATAAGGAAAGAAAAGATTAGGTTTTGGTATATCCTTATGATGAAATAAAGATAGAACATTATCATAACAGCGGAGCAGAATTCTAATATTTAGACTTGATTTTAGTACGCCTTAGACAAATTCAGCTTTACACCATGAGATAAATAAACCAAATGGATCAGCTTGCAATTGGTGCTAATCAAAATCCTGATTTCCTCCTGAAAAAATTTGTAAATTCAGAAATTGTTGTGAGGTTTTTATTAATGCGAATAATGCGGCTAGGTGAGTATCGCAATAATAAGAACTGGCATTCTGATATCTGATACATATATCTGTATGCAGATTTTCCTGAAATCGCAATGATTAATCTCGCATTTTGTTTTATCTAAATTAAATTAATAATGCACGCAGTAATTTCTGAATTTCAGTAGTTAAAAGAATATGCCAATAATTAAAAGCTGACCCAGCAATGAAAATCCCTCTTATAAAAAAGAAATTAAAGCCACTGTTTGCATTTGTATATTTGACGCACAACTAAATAAAAATACCATTCTGTTAACAGACCAGATCAACAAACATGGGCGCGATTATTATTTGTATTTCGAGAGCGTTTCCATTTCTGGTGATTTTTCGGAATTAGGTGTTCAGTGGCAAAACATTGGGTGATTATCGTTTGTATTTCACAGGATTTTATATGAAAATTAACATTATCTACCTGGACTCGTTGGATGGCGACAGGTAAACAGATATATATTTATGATTAGAGTTTATTAATTTTTTTAATCAAGTTTTTATTATCTATGGTCTGTATAAATTAAAGAAAGAGTGGTCATTTTGAAATATTAAAAAAGAAAGACATGGAAAGAAGCTAGCCATATGCTTTAACTTCACGACCCGCTATATAGATAATGACCTCTCACTGAATAATTCAAAGTCTGGTGACTGTAGAAAGCATCTATACCATCGATCGTTGAAAATAAAGAATACCACAGTTTCAGTTAAACCTGTCTCATATCTTGACTTGCATCTATAGTAATTGACATTTGAAAACAAATATTTACGACAAAAGAGATGTTATCAAGTTTCCAAACATGAACTTAGCATTTTTATATAGCAACACTCTAGCGTATCCTGCATGATATGAAGTGTTTATCTCACAGTGCTATCATGATGTCTTGATATAGAATTACTGCTAATAAGGAGGCTATTTCACCAAGGATTTTAAGTGGTAAAGTTGAGGTCATACCTTTGAAAGTTTTAATTGATTGATTGTTGGTTGCTTAACGTCCAGTGCTGAAAGTTTTAAGGATGCAATCATAATTTGTTTGACCGTAATGGAATACCTGTGTCACAGATGATCATGGGTATTTTAAAAGAAAAAGAAAATAATTGAAAATTAAACTTTTTAAATTTCATTCGTCCATAGCGAATTCTGGATTTATCTTGATCAGGAACACTCAAATTCAAACATTTGAAAGCCAAAGATGTCTGTGTACCGAAACGTGTGAAAATCCACATGACTAAAACGGACCTAAAATATTAGCAAAATCCATCCAAGTTCAACCTTTTCTGAGGGATTTAGAACCTTACTTTTTGAATAATTACAAACAGTGTTATAAATCATGTCAATACCGAGGCATTGACTTTTGATGATACCGCCCCGGTAACTCAAAAACTAATAGTTCACCACCAGCGGTATCTATCTATATAAAAATAAAAAAAACAACTATTAAAATTATATGCGTCCAATTGTCGAAGCCGTAATCAAGTCCGTTTGTCCTCGATTGTTTCATCACCGAATGAATCGGTCGAGAACAAAACTTTCCGTAAAAAAAGAGATGATTTCAGCTTCCTTATTGCGAACTTCACATTTCTATGTAGCAACATTCCAGCAGCGCCTGTATATGGAGTATAACTTCCCAGTTGATACGATACTCGAGCTTGCATTTCATATAATGATTTCTTTGATAGAGGGTTGCGTTACTGCTTACAATCAAGGTATCCTTCGAAAATGTTACGGATGTCATAACGAGTTGGTTGACCGTTATGGAATATCTGTTTCAAAGATGACGGATATGTTCCAATTGTCGTTACCACAATACCGTCCTCTTTTCCTCAAATGTGACATAATCGAATTAGACTGTTCACTGATTTTTTTTATTTACATGAGCAACACGACGGATGCCACATGTAAAGCAGGATCTGCTTACCCTTTCTTGAGCACATCAGAACATCCCGATGCTCAGTCTTTAGTAAACTATGTTGTGTTTTGTAGATTGTTGTTTGTCTTTTGGTAGTTTTTTTTCGTTTTTTGCCATGGCATTGTCAGTTTATCTTCGACTTATGAGTTGAATATCCCTTTGGTATTTTCCACCATTCTTTCATCACCGATTGGAACTTACCATTGGCAATATGACGGGTGCCACTAGTGGAGCAAGATCTACATACCCTTCTAAAGCAACCGCGTTTTTTATAGGGTTCGAATTGCTCATTCTTTAGTTTTGTAATGTATGGTTTTGTTTGTAGACTGTTATTTGTATTTTGTCGTTTTTCGCCATGATTTTGTTGGTTTCTCATCGACTTATGAATTTTGATTATCAATCTTGTATCTGCTTCTATCATATGAGAATGAACGACTAGAATTATCACTTCTTTTTCCCGCTACAATCGCAACCATTTATAAGTTGATCGTTACAAAGGCCAAACACAATTTGTCATTGCAAGTGAATCTGAAGGGTGCTATATCTTAAGCTAGAACTAGTGATCCTGTCGATATTCATGGTTTTTTTTTCAATTGGAGTCCATTTATATTGGTTTCAATGATGCTACGGGTACCATTCACATTTTTATCTCTTTTTATGATATCTTTGATGAGTTTTGTTTTTAATTTGGACTTCAACTGGACTTTGGTATCCCACCTGTTTATTTTACATGAATATATAATTTTATGTACCACATCTATATACACTAAGTCATGTCGAATTTGTTAATGCTTCAGTAGATACTTGATGTGGCTGCTTGGTTATCCACTGCCAGCCGGATAATCATCAGGTCATTTGTGAAAGATAGTTTTGCTCTTCATAACTCGTATGTTAAGATGAATACAGAAATGGCGTGAAAAGTCAAGGGGCTCCTATCAGAGTCGTCAACCTTACAATGATTATTTTAACACATAGTTATAGTATAAAGATCAAACGGACATGTACATATTAAATCTCTGTAGATCAAGTATATTTGGCATGTAATTTGCAGAGGCTAAGAAAATAGTCCACCTACCAAACACATACTTTAAATAGACTGATTGAAATATCAAGTAAACCCTATCAGACATGCATAATGATGTATACCCGAGACAATTTCAACTTGGACAGTCGACTAAGCTTGAAACGTAAGCCATTACAGCAGTAAAAAATAAGGTTCATCTACTTTCGCTTGAATGCATTGCAGTAAAGATACGCTTTTGTTCAAGAAAGAAATCTGGAATCATTAATCTAAGTCGGGATAATTGGATGCTGTCAAACTCCTCAATGTGCATTTTAATACCAATTGTGTTCACTTTTGACCACGTGCACTCTTAATCAATAAAAATGGATGTAGATGCATTATTGTCTCACTAACTTGGTCAATAATCATGTAAGAAAGTTTCGGATACAAGGGGAAGCCAACTTGGATAATTTCAAGATGACATGTACATTCAAATAAAGGTTCTAAAGCTAACACAATGATTTAGTTTTTTGGTTTATTATTCTTCATTAAAAAGCTGATATATGTATCTTTTCGTTAATACGTTGAACTTGTATTTGATAACGACTTGTTTGTACTACATGTACACGTAGTATGTATTTTTTCCATTGTTAACGACAAAGTCCTTGAAAATACATTTGTTTTCAGTTAAGTATGATTCCCTTTGAAATCTAGATTGTATTGTAATGTAAACAACATGTGGGACGTAATAGCTTACCATTCAAAAGCATCCGATTCAAATGCAACGTTTCAATGATGTTTGCAAGGCAGTTGTATGTATTTTTTTCTTTTGAGTACGTTGTTGTCTGTCCCTCAATTTAAAGCTTCTTATTGTTCCTTGCCATTTTTTTTCCATATTGATACGGTTATGTTAGTTTCATTAACATTCATTATCTTTTTATATTCAAGACTGTACCTTTTAGGAAAGCTTAAATTTATTATAAAGACTTCGTTTGTTGTCAAATATTTTGTTATGTCCCGCTCACGATAGTATATGGGTATTATGTTTTCCAGATTTTGCGCTATAAGATTAAAATTTTGGTTAAAGGTAGGTTCAACTTTTGGGTTCAGGTAGTTTGTGGTCCCATCAACTTAAAACATGGTACACCAATTAAGGTTTTGACCCGAATTTAATGGGTCACTAAACATTCAAATGCGACAGTGCAAACATGACATTGTGTCCTATGAGCGCATATTCTTGTTTGTATTAAAAATCACTCTTCTTTTAAGGCTCTTATTAAGTCAGGCCATTCCTCTTATATAGACAATTTTATCTTCACATAAATGAAAGGTGTAGTAAAATTCAACCAGACTACGGCAAAACATCTAAATCAAACCAAACTGGGTGTTCTAAGGGCCTTATTGTTACCTTGCTTTATGTAATGGTGCTGTTCAATATTCGACAAAGCATGGTGCCTTTGGAGCTGACAGTGTCTTAAAAAGCAGAAAATGTCTTCATCCAGTAAAAATAAATGTGGATAGTGTCCACATGTGGACACAGATGATGCCCCCGCTTGCATATCATATAGTTATAAAGGGACATAACTCAAGAACGGTAAAAGTGATGCTACCCAAATTTGAACTTGATCTGAGTTTTGTGGTAATAAGCATTGTGTATAAGTCTCATAACATTTGGTTGAGGCTAACTTAAGTAGAAAACAGAAACTAAAAATTCAGCAATTTTTCTATTTGTAAACACGCATAACTCTAGAACGGTTGTGAATAAGTTTCATAAAATTTGGTTGAGACAAACTAAAGTTAGAGAACGGAAACGAAAAATTCAGCAATTTTTATGTTTATAAAGGGACATAACTCAAGAATGGTAAAAGTGTCGCCACCAAATTTCGTACTTAATCTGTATTATGTAGTAATAAGCATTGTGTATAAGTTTCATAACATTTGGTGTAGGCAAACTAAAGTTAGAAAACGGAAACAAAAAATGTGTACTCGATCTTAGTTTTATGGTAACGAATATTATGTATAGGTTTCATAATGTTTGGTTGGGGCAAACGTAAGTTACAGAATGGAAACTAAAAATTTAGCAATCTTTCAATTTATAAAGGGGCATAACTCAATAATGGTTTAAGTGACACTACCCAAATTCAACTTGATCTGTGTTTTATCAGTGGAAGTCAAAATTAAACATTGCATAAAGCATTGATTGTAGTTGATTCAACTATAATCATGGACAAAGGAAGATAACTCCAATTTTAAAAATTACTTGATATTTAGAAGAAAATAAAAATTTTGCAATTTTTCCATTTATAAAGGGGCATAACTCTAGAACGGTTAAAGTGACGCCACCAAATTTCAAACTTGATCTGTGTTTTGTGGTAACAATCATTGTGTATAAGTTTCATAACATTTGGTTGAGGCAAACTTAAGTTAGAGAACGGAAACTAAAAATTTTGCAATTTTTCCATTTATAAAGGGGCATAACTCTAGAACGGTTAAAGTGACGCCACCAAAATTCAATCTTGATCTGTGTTTTGTGGTAATAAGCATTGTGTATAAGTTTCATAGCATTTGGTTGAGGAAAACTCAAGTAAGAGAACGGAAACCAAATTTGGGAGGTACGTACCTACGTACAGACTGACAAGGGTAAAACTTAATGCCCCCACCTCTACGGCGGGGGCATAAAAAGGATCAGGTTTTTCGTACTCATCTGGAATGGTCTTTCTGTGCATTCACTGAAAAAAACTGTTAAAATCTTATTAAGTTCCCAAATTGAAATTAGTTATTTAAGCAAACCTATGCAGAAATAAAATCCGGCGGAGACAATGTTCGAATATATTTTAACCAGAATAAAAGATTGCCTCTAGCAGCAATGTTTTTCATTCGACCAGAGCCAAATGAAAATCATTTGTACAGCGCGTTCAATACATCCTTCATGTTTAATTAAAATTGACCATGATGTATGTATGTGGTTTTCCTTACAGTATTATTTGAAACTATGTGCCATCCATCATGTTTCCAACCCGATGAACAAAATGAGAAATCTCCAAATCACCAACTCCCTTAATTTTCAGAACATTTTTCAGAATTACCTCTGGCAGCAATTCAATTTTACTCTCATCAGAATCAAATGAAGATTTTTCTTGAAGTGCAATGTCCATACATCCTCTTGTTGTGAATGCTTAAAGTTTGCCAGGTAGATTTATTGTATGATAAAAATGTGACTTTCCATTGAGTGCCACAAATGTCGCCTTGTTTGCCACCAAATGAATATCAAATGAGGAATTAGTGTAGTCTTCTAATCAGCAATCCCATGGTTTTAAATTGGCAAAGTATATTCATAGTATGATGAAATAGGAATTTCCATAGGGTTTCAATGAGAACATTGCACGACCAATGCTCCATTGATTGCCACCAAATAAATATGAATCAAGGACTATCTATAGATTCTTTCAATTATCAATCCAATAAAGTTGAATTCAATACTTCACCTTAAAGTTTTAATAGGGAAGATTTTTAAAAACAGCCAAGTAGAATGATTGCCTCAATTTGAATTATGTACTACCAATACTTTATACCCATCCAATCAACAGTAATTGAAGATCTTGTAATTCAAACTTCACTGATGAGTCTTTCTTTCAATTATCAATCCAATAAAGTTGAATTCAATACTTCACCTTAAAGTTTTAACAGGGAAGATTTTTAAAAACAGCCAAGTTGAATGATTGCCTCAATTTGAATTATGTACTGTAAATTCAGAAATTATTGCGATGTTTTTATTATTGCGAAAAATGCGACAGGGTTATAATCGCAATAATTTAAACTCGCATTTTGAAATTTTTATATGAATTAAACAGGATTTTTCTCAATATCGCAAAAATTAAAATCGCATTTTAGTCTAAAATGACAAAATCGCAAAAATAAATGCACGCAATAATTTCTGAATTTACAGTACAACCAATACTTTATACCCATCCAATCAACAGTAATTGAGGATCTTGTAATTCAAACTACACTGATGAGTCTTTTTTTTAGACAAAACGCGTTCAAATTTTTTTTCAGAAGAGTTTTTTTGTATAATTTTCAATTCATCTATATTCTAAATTTTCAGCGGAGATTGTTTTTAAATTTGTCTAATAACAAGAATGTGTCCATAGTACACGGATGCCCCACTCGCACTATCATTTTCTATGTTCAGTGGACCGTGAAATTTGGGTCAAAACTCTAATTTGGCATTAAAATTAGAAAGATCATATCATAGGGAACATGTGTGCTAAGTTTCAAATTGATTGGACTTCAACTTCATCAAAAACTACCTTGACCAAAAACTTTAACCTGAAGCAGGACAGACGGAGGAACGAACGAACGCACAGACCGAAAAATATAATGCCCCTAGGTGGGGCATAAAAATCAATGATCTCCCTTAGACAGATAAATTTTATTTTGATGGTAATCAAAATTGGCTTTTACATTTTACAGAAAAGACCTTTCCTTTATCATTTCTGTTTTAATAAAATTGGCCCAGTGGTTTCAATGTAGATGATGAAAACGTAAATTGTACTAAGATGGACAGACAGAAAACAGAGACAAAGTGTTGACTATTGCTCAAATGGCCTTGCGGTCATCAAAACTTTGAGTAAGATTTTTGTTCTCAGACTAAGAAATCAACCAATCAAATTACTGGATTTGGAGTTTCGAGCAAAAATTTTGTACTTGAGTACTGAGAAAAGTTTTCTGACCAAAAAGCCAGGTGAGCTTAAAATACTTGGAATATTTTCTTAACAAGAAATCCCCTTAATAGATGCCACCCCTACTGGAAAGTCACATTTCCAGTGATTCAAGTACAACCTTATAATTCTGTATATTGAGAAAATCAAATGATCAGTTTATCTTTACATGGTAGTATTGCTATTTATAACAATGAATTCAATGCATTAATAGCAAGATACTAGAATAAAATACAGAATGTTTCGGTGATTTTCGAAAAACCTGGTTTCTAAATGAATATCTGATCTTTTCAACAGCATATAAATCAGAAACTCAAATCTTTAGCAAGTTGCATTAAAAATTAATTGAAGCATAATTTTATCAACTGTTAAAGGAACAACAAAATGTTTACTTTTTTATTTTGCAAATCTGCAAATTCAGGTAGATTTCATGCATGATCATGTACTAATTAACAACAAAGATAATGATACAAAATGTTATTTCATCCACACACTTTCATCATTTTCAATTGCACCAATATGAATGAAATAATTCAAGGCTTGTATATACAATCATTCAATAAATTATACTTTAATAGCAGAAAAAAGTTTTTTTATAATTGATATTTTTTTATTCTGACTTGTACAAAATCAGGTCAGAATTCAGGAAAATGAATTAAAGTGAGTGATCTGAATATTTATTATCATTAACTGTTTTGGTGGTTAGAAACTTGGTTTAGTAAAGCATGTTCATGCAGTCCAAGCCTTAACAATGAGGTTTACTTGTACAAAAGTGCTTTCAAAAATTGCTTCAAATTGTTATTATATTAAATAACCAACCTTCTCATTATTTCCATAATAAATATTTATATTTTGGCAAAACGGTTGAGCATATTTCAAATAAATAAGCTAACTTAATTTAAATAAATAAATTACATTATTGTTTTGAACTGCTTGAATGTAACATATGCAATGTTCCACCTAATAACTGCATAAATTTAGTTGAAGTAGGAAGTTAAAAGCAAGCTCATGAATAATGTTCCATACAATTAATGATATAATATGAAAACTAAAGTCAAATAGGACCAGATACCTACATTGTATGTATTCTGAAAGTAACCAATTTACAAATTATTCTTGATGCAAGAAATCTCAACTACTCTGAGAGTTCGTTTACTTGTCATGTTTATACAAAGGGGGCGAATATTCAAGAATTATGTGATTCATGAAAATCAAGAATTTGATTATTACTTCTTTTACTTTGTTTTGATAAATTTTGAGAGCAGAAATAAAAAATCCCATGAATTAGTAATTTTTGACAAATCAGAAAAACTGAAATCCATGAACATGATGAATAATGAAGTTACTATACTGTGAAAATATGCAAGTATTTCATGGATTTCAGCTCTTCAGTCTTAATTAAATAAGCAAGTATTTTGAAAATGGTCTTATTTCAAACATTAATAATTTAAATTAAAATAAGTCTGAAAATGGTAAAATTATAATCAGTCATAAAATTAATCCAATCATATAATTAATTTTTTCAAATTTGAATATTTTAGTATTTATTTTGGAAAATACTTGCAGCTGAAAATAAACGGCTACAATTTAAAGGATAAATTCAGATATGTAGAGGATTTTCATGTTATTTGTATACAATACTTTTGTCATGTTTCAAATAGACAATGATGGTGAAATGTGCCGGTCAGATTTCATTACATACTTTCTGTTCCATTAGTTTGTTGTGCGAAGATTTTTTTAATTTTAAAAACTCTAAATTAACTATAAAAAAAAAAAATTAACAAACGAAAAAAAATTAAAAAAATTAATTTTCTTTACAGGATTACATATAGTTTATTCCCCTAGAAATAATTCAAAATGTTCCTCCCAAATTTTTGTGAGGCTCATGATGTTCAAACTTTAGTTTTCTGTTGGGCTCATGATGTTCAAACTTTAGTTTTCTGTTGGGCTCATGATGTTCAATCTTTAGTTTTCTGTGTAGAGTTCAGTAAACTGTTGTCTGTCTTTTCATTCTTTGTTTTTTTGTTGTTGTCTGTTTTTCTATGAGTAATTTTTGTTTTTTTGCCCATTGGTATCTTTCTCCACTTTTTTATATAATTTTTTACAAAAAAAAAAATTATAAATCTGAAAACTGATTAAAGATCTTCATAAATCTCTTCCAAAAGATATATCAAAATGCAAATCAAAATAAAGATGATTAAAAAAATATGAAAAAAAAACTTAGCACCAAAATATATACAACATTGTTTCTCAAAATTTATAATCATCAATGATCAATAGAGAGAGAACTTCATGACAAATTAAGGTCCTTAAACATCTCTTTAGTAGTATCATAAATGAAAAATGTTCTTTATGTAAAACTATGACCGCACACCAAAACAAATCATCCTTATTAATAAGGTAAAATAATTTTAACACTCTATTTGTTGATTTTTTATATCTAGTTCTCCTTTGAATAAACTGTTTGTCTGGTTTACTCTGATTTATGATCTACAGAAATATCACAAACAAGTTCAAATTAAAGCACTGTAGTATATCAGCGCATAAATGAGACATGTTTCAACCAACGAAAATTAAAGATATGAGAAATATGACATTTCATATCCGTTATCAATCACTTCTTGTTGAAATGTTGTTGTACAAAATGCTTTAATGCACTTCAAGTTTATAGTTTAAAATTAAATATGTATGTATGTTGTTAGGTAGGGAGTGACACTTTCGATGACACATTTTGTCTTACACAACTTATATTTCTTTAAAGCCAACACCAAATCTTCCTTTCACCAATCCATTCATGGTGTGCTATGAACCTAAAGGCATCTTAAACTTTGATAAGGCTTCATTTTTCTGTTTTAACTTGTCTTTTCTTTTCTGGTTATTTCCACCAACAGATGTAAATTCTACATTAATTTTTCTACCCCCTAATGTTGTGTGGTGAAGTCGTAAGGCAATCTGAAAAACAATATATATACTTTAAAACACAAGTTATTGATGTTTGATTTCTTAATTTTTTTTTAACCAAACTAGGCTACGAGTAACACAAACTGCATAAAATATATCACACATGACCCTAGGCATACAAGCCTATTAAATACTTTGCATCATTATCCAATTTTACTCATAACTTTCTTTCACAAATGAGCAACCTAACAGACAAATGATGGGTTTACCCTTCAGGGACAGCTGGTATTATTCACGTTTCCAAAATAGTCATATTGTCTATGGTATTGTAGAAAGGAGGACATTGTCATATGACATTAACATTATATCATCCTTTACATGTTACATTACCAATTTATAGTCCTGAACATGCATGTAATATTTATACATATTTGCTTATGGACGGTAGACAGTTGTCAATCAATCAATCGACCACCCACATGTAGAAATGGCATAAATATTTACTGTAAATTCAGAAATTATTGTGAGGTTTTTATTAATGCGAATAATGTGGTGACTATTGCAATGATAAGAACTCGCAATCTGATGTCTGTTACATATATATATCTGTATGCAGATTTTCATGATATCGCAATAATTAATCTCACATTTTCGTCCATTCTTGAAAAATCGCAAAAATAAATGCACGCAATAATTTCTGAATTTACAGTAACTATAGTACTGAAGTATTTTTATAATTATCATACACTAAATAAGTGTAAAATTCTTCAGATAGTGACCACCTGAGAGGTCAGTTCATTTGACTGGTTTCATCATGTTTACTGTGTTAATTTGTACATATCATGCCCGACTCTAAATAAAATTTACTTACTTATCAAACAATAAAAAATGCCTTTCATATAATTGTACTTGTATAATTTTATAGAAAATGATCTCAAACAATAAACAAATAATCATACAAACTTGGCTAGTGTTTGGTCTTATTTTGATAGTTACTTACACCATGGCTTATTCTGTCCTTGAATTCAATGTAAGCAAATCCTCTAGATCGCTGTTTAGCTTTTTCCTGAGGTATTCTGATCTTCTTCACTCCTCCTATTAGGGAAACAAAAACAGTTTTAGAAAATTGTTAATAATACAATGAATGTTTCAAAATAACATGAATAACTGATCACATTATTTGTAGAAAAATGTGTTAAACAATATAAATTTGAATAAGAGCAATTCTATTAAGTGCCAATTCAATCTGCCTAAGAACAGAAAGTGGTGAAAACCTGACAAACCAAAACCCACTCAAGTTGACATCAATTTATGTTAGAAATGGATAATGGTGCAGGAATATAACATTAGTTTCCATGTCCTGTTCTGGTAAATCAAGATATAATTTGGCTGAAATGCACTAGAAATTAACAATTAAGGGGAGCTAACTCCGTAATTTGCTATCATTCTAACCAAAATTTATCTAGAAATTTCTCAAATTACTAGACACGCAGAAAAGAAAGACCTACCATTTCTAACTCAGGAGGAGGGTAACTTCAAAATAGGATGGTCAGGTCGGTGGGTTTTTTCTACCATGTTTTGATTTTTTTCAAAATTGCCTGATTCTTACAAAGACTGGCACTTAAAATGAATGTGAGAAGGTAGGAAGGAAAATTCATTTTGGGCCATTTATCATGTTTACTGTTGTATATTAATTTGATGCTTGCAAAATAACATCTTTTGGTTAATGAAGGATTTTGAATGTCCAATCCTTCCTTCCAACAATTATTTTAATATAATAGCTCGAATACAAATCTTAAGCTAAAAGTCGTGTGTGGAATGCAACACTGACTTAATTTGTTATGGAAAATTAATTGCAGATAACTAATCTTAAAATCAGACAGAATTTTTTATTGTATAATTCAAACTTATTGTTAATCATACCGAATGAAAGGTCTTGCGTCTACGTCATGCATATGTAGCAAATCGATTTCAGTCTGTGGTTTAAAGGTTTTATCATTAACTACTGTAAATTCATAACTTTCAGCTAGGTTTTTATTATTGTGAAAATTATGACCATAGATTTCACAAAAAATAAAAACTTTTGTTTTAAATTTTGATAGCATTATTTGTTTGCAACATTTTCTTAAATCGCAATGATTAGTTTTGCAATCTTGTTCATTGTTCAACAATCACAATAATTTCTGAATTTATAGCGTCTTTTCACATAGGTCAAAGATCAAGTCTAAAAATGAAATGTTTAAACCCATCAATAACAATGCGACCTTTTTGCCTCAAGCTCTTGGAATATCAAATATATAGAATAGAGAATGGAAATGGGGAATGTGTCAAAGAGACAACAACCCGGCTGTGAGCCCAAGGCCACCAATGGGTCTTCAATGTAGCGAGAAAATCCCGCACCCAGAGGTGGGCTTCAGCTGGCCCCTTAACCCTTAACAATTTAGTTCAGCAAAATGGAAACCACACTAAACTCCGAAACATAAAAATGAACCAAAAATTAAAAAAAAAACACACAAAACTAACAAAGGCTATAGGTTCCTGACTTCGGGACAGGTGCAAAAATGCAGCTGGTTAAACATGTTTTGTGAGATCTCAACACTCCCCCTATACCTCTAGCCAATGAGGAATAAACAAACATGAATGCCATCAGTAAAACTTACTTAATGAATTCTGATTGTACCTGTTTTTCTGAAGTGTTCCTCCAGGTTTTCTTTAGTCACATTGTAAGGCAAATTTCCGATAAATAAAACGTAGTTTGTTTCTATCTTTGGTTTGGTATCTGATGTATTGTCACTTTCCTGCTTTATGTTATTATTCTTTTTGCTTGGCTGTTTGTCGTCTGTGCTATTTTTAACTTTGTCTTGTACTTTTGATTTGGCTGTTTTCTGGGAGTCAGGTGATGCTTTAGATGGAGTTTGTTGTTCTGATGATAAGACTTTCTTGGTTTGGTCTGATGGTTTGAATCCTCCTTTATTTTCAGTAGTTATTACAAAGTGGTCAACAGCACTAGGATTTGGTCTCAATCCTACAAACAGAAAAATTAATACAGCAATTCAATATTTGTGTATACATTGAATTGTTTTCCCTAAGTTGTTATCAGTAGTAATCTTTTAAAAGTCTCCAAACAAAACCACAGAAGAATCTCAGACTTAACTGTGTTTTCCCCACAATAGTTCATATAGCATCCCATTCATAACACATTTCCAATCTATAAGAAAATCATGTCAGATACTAGTATCACATTACCAAGATGTTAAAAGAACCTGTGGAGAACAGTGTACTATGCTCTCACTTAATCTTAACTAAGCAACAATCAATCAATCAGACCTTAGTCACCTAGCATTAGTGTGCACATCCAGGTCAAAAATATAATTATTAATAAAGCTCTATATAAATGCAACAAATTAAAAAAAATAAAAAATTAACAAGATGCATGTTTTCCAATACTTGGTTATTTTTAAACAGCTGAAGGGTAATATTGATGATGACACGTACAGGATTAAGCTACTGTAATCATGAGACGTCCTTGGCCCATGTGTACACAAAGTGTAATCAGAAGACGTCCTGGGACCATGTGTTCATGAAGTGTAATCAGAAGACGTCCTGGCCCAGGTGTTCATGAAGTGTAACCAGGAGATGTACCGGGCCCAGGTATTCATGAAGTATACCCAGGAGAGGTACCAGGTCCATGTGTTCATGAAATGTAATCAGGAGACGGCCTGGGCCCATGTGTTCATAAAGTGTAATCAGGATACGTCCTGGGCTCATGTGTTCATTAAATGTAATCAGGAGAATCCTTGGCCCATGTGTTCATGAAATGTAATCAGGAGATGTCCCCGACCCATGTGTTTATGAAATGCAATCAGGACATCCCAGGCCTATGTGTTCATGCAGTGTAACCAGGAGATGTCCTGGGCCCATGTGTTCATGAAGTGTAGTCAGGAGACTTCACTGACCAAAGTGTACATGAAGTGTAATCAGAAGACTCCAGTGGCCCATGTGGTCATGAAGTGTAATCAAGAGACTCCTGGGCCTACGTATTCATAAATGTAATCTGGAGATGTCCAAGGCCAATGTGTTCATGAAATGACATATCCAGACAGAAAATCATGTGTGCAGTAGGTGTTTTACGAGCTATAATGAAAACCCTGGAATCCTAAGGATTTTGATTTGATTCATTCCTAAATTGTATATCGATCTGGTTTTTGAGTTTTACTGATTTAAGTTGCCTATCCTGCACTGATTTCCATAGATTTTGAAATGGCTAAATCTAATTTTAATTTCACAGAAATTTCAAGTCTGTCATGTGTCTTATAGTTATTTTCTCTAACAGAGTTATTAATTGTAGGTTGTGTTAGTCCTGTTCTGACCTAGATTTTGAGTTACATATCTCAATCCTGAATTTACTTGTATGGCTGTTGATTTGTCTAATCATATACATGTATTGACCTGTTTAAGTTTTGAGTTATCCCAGTTTTGTTTTTACCTATTCTTGTCTGTTTATACATGTACATGTTCCATTACTATATTAATTAACTAACTTAACAACAGTTACCTTCTCGTTTAGTTGCTCTTGTTTTCTGTTTTTCTGACCACCATTTCTGTCTTCTATCTTTCCTTGGTGTTGCGGAGGACATTTTATTTCCAACCGAAGTTCAAAAGTTACCCTACAAAAATAAAAGCATTTATTCTGAAATAAATTTTAAAACATGTACAATGTACATTTTGTACCGGTATATGAATACTGTAAATTCAGAAATTATTGCGAGGTTTTTATTAATGCGAATAATGCGACTGGGTGACTATCGAAATAATAAGAACTCGCATTCTGATATCTGTTACATATATCTGTATGCAGATTTTCATGATATCGCAATAATAAATCTCGCATTTTTGTCCATTTTTAAAAAATCGCAATAATAAATGCACGCAATAATTTCTGAATTTACAGTACTGTATATTCCGAACTGCCTGTTTCAATTAAATTCATAAGCAGACAAATTTCATGAAACCTGAAAGGAATCTTGTTTCTGATTTCTTGTTGTCTTGAGCAGCATGCCCACTATTCTATTTAAAGCTACATGTAGATTCCTGAAGTAGCTACATGTATCTCATTTTGACCCAATTCTATTTTCTTGTTCAAGTTAGTGGTAATTCTGTTGGTAACAATGGTAGCTGGTCTGTGCATGTTTTTTTATTGTGTATTTTACTTAAAACTTTTACAAGATATGGTCAACAGTGTTACAATATACATGTACATAGTACATGTATGCAATAATTATAAGTATTTGCCACCTACAAGTTACAACTTCTTCCTATACACATTTGAAATTAAATTAAGTTTTTTTTTTACCAAAAAATAATGTGGGGTTTCTGGTTTGATTTAAGTACAAAATGTATCAAGAGTAAGACAGAATAGACTATTTTCATATTACCGACTTTTGACTCTGGATTATATAATTTGTCGACTGGTTACCTTGGACATCATGGTACCAAGTCAGGTAAGAGCAAGCTAAAGAAGTAAAACCAAGCTTTCAATCGGTACAAATTTTTTTGGGAAAATTACCTGGTTAATAGGTTTTTTCACTACAAAATCATCGGAAAACAGTAAACTTTCCCCTCAAATTACAATGATTATATGTTTGATTTTACTTATTTTGGCTGCTCTTACTTGACTGAGTACCATGATGTCCAAGGTAACCAGTCGACAAATTATATAATCCGGAGTCAAAAGTCGGTAATATGAAAATAGTCTATTGTTTATTTGCTTATCGAGTTATTCTTATAATATAGGAAGCATTCCAATTTTTTGATGATATATTAAACTGTAGTCTTATCTTTTGTCCATAAATTTGCTATATACATATGATATATTTTTCCATTAAATCAAATTGTAAAAAATTTAAATACATTGTGACATCAAGAGGAAACACAAATGATTGAAAAAAAATTATGATAAAAAAATAAAATAAAAATAAAGTTCTGACAATTCTGTGTCTTTACATGTTCAACACATGGTTTGTTAAAATCCAAATGTTAATGCCGTAAAAATAATTTTTTGAAAAAATCTGTTATTGTTAATTGTAGATGAATACTTAATCATGCTTAATTCTGTATATTTTTATGATCAGATGATAGACCGAAAATTGTGTTTCAAGCAAAACAAATGTTGGCTGTTTGGTAGGTTACTGCATCTCCCAATTCAATGATAACATGCATAACCTACGGATACCCAAGGCAATTGCACCTATTTTGACAGTTTTTCCACCTGCGTTTATTAATGATCCAGACAAAAGTTTCCATTATGTGTTTAATTTGTAGATGCATCCTTATTTACTATATAGTTCCATTAATTTAATTTTGAATCCATATAGAATCATAGAAAAATGGAAAATGGATCCATGATTATGTAAAGAGGTTCCAAATTGCATCGATGCGTAAATTCACATCAGTAAAAATCAAATAACTGATGTTTTGTTTTATTCTCCAAATATTTAGAACTATTTGACAATAGTCCATGCTTACTATTCATTTGTAAAAATTGATGCCAAGAACATATTTGAATTGCTCATTTTCAAAAGTTGACTTTTTGTTGATTTCGCCATGCAAAGTTTCCGTTGATACTTTTCCAGTGAATACTTCATCTGTTGATACATACTGTGAACGTTTTGTGTATATCTAAATATATTTAGCTATGTTGGAAGACGTGCATAATGTCAAATCATAAAAATACAAATTGTTTATACTCTTAGAAAACTTGTAAGATTTCCGCTGCTATTTTTGCAAAGTGGGCGCAATTTGGGTACTGTGACGTTACCACAAGGGTCTGATTAGATTGGCTCATAGGCTTATGCAAGTATAAAGGAAACAATAATCAGTCTGTGCATCGAATGTAGTTAGGTACAGTAACACTGGTAACTAGACACTTTCTGACGTTTCGAACATTTCAGGACATAGACAATTCCTTACCTCAACTTTTTCTATACACTTGTTATTAATTTATGTTCACTATGATATAATAGAATAAAAAATACTGTTACTTTGAAACATAAACCAAACTTGAGTACATTTGATTGAAGATATCCACATGTTATCAAAACATAATTGTTTGTAAAGTTATGCATTAATCAATATATCTTAAGTAGCCATAATATGTTTTTCGCTATGAAGATCAAAAGTGCACAGCTTGTGTTTGTCAATGCAAGGACCGTCCCAACGTACAATGTATATTAGTTACAAAAATATATATGTCCCTGTGTTTGTAGATGGTGATCATTTGATCTCTGAAACTTTAAAGACAGTCAGGGGTACTACTTGTACAAGTAATCATTATTTACTTGAAGAAGTAAAAAAAATATACTTATATTAAGTTAATTATAATGTTTGAATAATCTCCCCTTAATTTTCTCAAAAATTCACCTGTATAAGTAAATTTTTTTTTACAATCCCACAAAAATTCTCAAGTTTTGAAATGTTAAAACATGCCTTTAATGATTTTTCCCAGGTAAGCTCATAATTTTTTATTAGAGTTCAATGTTTCATCTCATTAACTCAACAAAGAAACTGATTGCGCAAAGATCTTATGTATTTGCGCAAGGCCTTCAAAAATTGCTCCTTGGGGGCTTGTAAATGAGCAGTGTTCTGAAGATAACAGACAAATGAGATTCTCATTGTCCATGAAATTACACTTAAATGATTAGTTAAGACATCTGCAAAGGACAGAAAATTTAAAATTCTATTAGAGCAAAGAAGTCCTAAGAATACAAGAAAAGAAGATAGGATGACTTTTTCACTTATATAAGTAAAAAAATCTGAATGTCTAAGGGACATAACTAAGCCATTTTTTTTTTTTACCTATACAAGTAAATAAAATACACTTGTATAAGTATCCTACAAATTTACTTATATAAGTATATTAATATTACTTCTTCAAGTAAATAAAAATTACTTGTACAAGTAGTACCCCTGACTGAAAGAAAACAAATACCTGTAAATAAATTTTATTGCTATTAAGGTTCATGTGGACCCTTTGGCTAAAATGGTTGTGTTTTCACCTGAAAATTTACTCTCTAGATAAATAATATTCAAATGAATTTTATGTTTTAGAACTTAAAAAAACTTAATTGGATTTTGCAGTGCACTTTTTTCATTCCTACAGAAGGTGCCAAAATAAACAAAGTTGGGAAAGAGGTTTGAGAACTTCCCCATAGGTAGTAATTGAAGTGAACTGTATTGATTCAGATGGACAATAGATACCTGACAATAATTGGTGATTTAAACTCTGTAACTGAGTGGACCATATCAAGTGAAACTCAACTGTTTAATTCTATCATCTTCTGCAGGGACGAAAAAAAGTGCACAGCAAAATCCAGTTAAGTTTTTAATTTCCTAAAACATAAAATGCATTTGAATTTTATTTATCTAGGGCATGCTATGCCTTAAAACTTTTCCAGACACACAGGTTTGTCTGTACTCAAAGAGTAAATTTTCAGGTAAAAACGCAGCCATTTTCACCAAAAAGGTCCACATGAACCTTAACATTCCTATTTTGTTACGCAATAACGTGCAAGCCATATTATCAAGAAACTTTAATGGAAGGCCTCTTAGACCATTGGGATAAGCTGGGACTAATACACAGAATTTATCTATTATTTTCTCCCTCGTTTAACTCCTCCGAAGATAAAATTTTTCGTAACTACATGTAGATATCGTAGAAAAAACCATACACAGTATAGGGTTATGCGTTCGCTATAAGATCGCATCTAAAATAACATATTTAACATATCTACAATCAGATATACATAAATGCATCAAAATTCACCATACACAAGTCGATATGAACTGAGAAAGTAACATATAAGGTTATTTGGGGTGGGTGGGTGGTACATATACATAGTGTATCAAACTAACATCTGTGTCCTTAGTCCTTACTATCTTGTAAAGATCTTCACATTAGTCAAGGGTGTCTTAAATTTTCTTTATATACCATGTATACTGACTGCTGAAATCGTCCGTGCAGAAAGGAATTCAATGGGTATTACCTTATCTAATTTAAATATTGAAAACCGTAAATTATGTTAAAAACATACATGTAGGACCGCAAAGAAATGTAATTAGTTCCAGAGACAGAGATAAGCAATAATTAATAAGGTCAGAAAGTTAAACTGAAAAATAAATAAAAGTAGTTTTTTGTCATTATGAGGCGCCGATTTGTCTTGAAACTGAAATGTCCCCAGTCGGGTGCAAAAAGTGTCTCGTACCGAGTGTCTGGAATTCATGAAGTTATGTTAGCGTACGTGTTGCGACGCATGTCATGTTCATCGAGGATGCTTGAACTTTTTTCATAATGTCAGATATAAGCTGTGCTTACCCTCAGATATTTAAAAATAGAAAATGAAAAAGTTGTGTGATGAAATAACTAACTATGTCTGGTTGAAAGAAGCATTGTCTTTTGTCTATTTCATTTTCGATGCTTCAGAACTTTTTACTTCCGGTTTAAATATTTAAACTGCAAAGCAGTGTCGGAATAAGCCATGTTTCCGAATTCTGTCACGATTTTTTTTTCGATTTTCCTTTTTAATAGTCTATGCAGCCATTTCTTGTATTGGATTTCTGTTATGATAATTCATTACATTGGTTAAGACGACCAGCTCTTTTCCCACAAAACAACTAGTAATTCTTAATTTGCTCTAGCTATTTCCATTAGGCCGTACATTTCATAGATACCAGGATTAAAATTAAGAGAGGAGAAAGAAACCAAAGGAACATTCAAATTCATAATTCGAAAATAAACTGACAACTTCATGGCAAAAAAAAAAGAAGAAAAAGACCAGTCACCAAAAGACAAACAACAGTACACAAAAACAACATAAAAAACTAAACTGAGCAACGCGAACCCGGCCAAACCGGGTGAATCTCAGGTGCTCCGAGGAAGAGTAAACAGATAAATGACCCAATTAACGTAAAGATATTGACAAAAGATTTAAAAAAAAAATCAGATACTAATTCTCAATAAAGTGTTAACATGAAAATGAAAGTATATTATGTATATATGTATTATTTGTCTCTGATATAGCTAACTTATCATACTATGTACATTTTTGTGTATATACCAGTGGCGTATCCAGAAATTTTCATAAAGGGTGGGGGGGGGGGGGGGGGGGGCACTTAATGCCATAAGAGGGGGACCGCTCCAGTCATTCCTCAGTGATTCCCTAAATAATCAACCAATTTTTTTCAACAAAAGGGGGGGGGGGGGGGTGGCGGCTCCCCCTAAATCCGTCTCTGCATACCGTTAGAGATGCAGATGCAGTAGACTAATTCATTTTCTTTGGATGTGAAATACGGCATCCGCAATCGCTTTACATCATTTAGTTAATAGTAATGTCACAATGGGGTATCATTAAAAAGGTCGTTTCCATTAACACAAAAAGTAGCCAGTATGTTCTATATTTACCCTATACCAACCCTCAGTCATAATGGCCCTCGTAGTTTCGACCCTCTGGCTAACATGGGTGTCTCGGGTTGATATGGAAAATTGCTATTTATTAAACTGATTTTTTTTTAAATTATTCCCTTTTTATTTAACTGTGATACAAAAAGCAGGATATGGAAAGTTTGAAGAACCTTTACTCAAATGGCTTCTGTTTCCAAAAGGAAAACACAGACACTTGTCTCTGAAAAAAAAATTTAACATATATAAAGTATATCTTTTTTCAGCGGCAAGTACCTGAGGAGTAAAATATAAAATCAATACCAAGGGGACAAGCAGAAATCACTAGTCGAAAAAAACAATAGTCAACATTGACATAAGATAAAAAAAACAACAAAAAGACAAACAACAGTCTACAATATACTATACATAGAAAGTTGAAAACACAAGAAATACTGTGACGTTGATACGAACAAAGAAGAGGCAACTCTTATCCTCCTGATTTTCCATATACAAATTATTTAGATACGTTCATCTTTATTTTCACATTATTAAACACAACTAATATATTGAAACTATCTCAGAAGATTTAAGCCTCAGATATAATGAGGATTAATATGCTTTTGAAATTTATTTATGTAATATTTCGTACATAAACGACAGTGCATCATAAGCCTTTAAAGACTGATTGGTATAAATATACATGTTTATTGACTACATATGTTTAAAACTGTAATATATTCTATTTCATGAACATGTACCAAGTTGTACTTTAAAATAAAAATGTCTATCTATCTATATCATATAATAGTCGACCAATGAATGATGGTGCCCTTAAACTGTCGAAGGAATGAGTTAAACTATCCCATTAGAAATGGAATATCGTATCGACTTGGAGATATAACACTCCATATTCAGACACATATTGTTACATTGATATGGACAGTTCATATTCAGTAAGCTAAATCATGTCTTTTTTAAATGTTTTGTTTCAAACGAATCCTCATTGTCAATTCATACGATATGAATCAGAATTAACTATATATCTGTGGTATCCTTGATTTCAAGTTCGATTGGATAAATGTGTTCAACATAGTCACCATTTGACTTATTTAGTGAGACAACTTCATCTATACAGCGCAACGCGTAGTTTAAAGATAATTCTAGCTTATAACGAGCAGCTTCTGTATGGAGTATGACTTATATGAATAAAGAAACAATTCGACATGGTTCCCAAAAGAACAATCTGTTGAAAAAAACACGTCTTCCAAAGAGGGGCGTAAAAGGGGGGGGGGGTATCTGCACGGAAGAACGCGAATTAAAATTGCCATTTCACGATGAACGAACAATTAAAAAAATTTTGCACGTTAATCTTTTTACCGATTTCACGAAACACGGTGAATAACGAACCTTTTTCACGGATGCACGTGAAATAAAAATGGCAAAACACGTTGCACGAAAATAACTCTTTACCACCCTCTCCAAACGGAACAAACGTGTTGTCAATCGAACGATCAAGCAACTTGATGATGACAATTTCAGAGAACTTTTTGAATCAGATTGGATTGACAAAGTATAATAAGTTATCCCTTCCTTAAACAAGATTTTTGTATCTACATTGGCCATTCTTTTTAATGAAATAAAGTTGGACTAATTCTTTCTTCTGTCTTTAACTTTATCACGAGGAATCTTTTTAAAGGTGTGTTTTTTTTAAAACTCATAGTGTGTTATACTTATCAATTTAGTAATAACTGTTATCAAATTAAAAATAGACAAATACACGTTAATGATATTTGCTTTGATCTTGAATGTATATTTGGGAACTTTGTTATTCTCGGAGCTACCTTATAGTTACATAGCTTAAGCCTACATGTTCGTAAAATATTTAAACAAATACTTATGAAACTAGAACTACTTGTGTCCTTTTGAAATATACGTCTTCATCTGAATTTAATTCTTACTCTTGAAACTTGTGGATATGTAAATAAATATGTCCATTCTTTAACTTTTCTTTTTCATTTCAAATGGCACATCGTAAACACAGAATTATTGCGTGAGTAAAATTAAGTAGGCGAAACTTTTCATGTAAAACACTTTTAGATATTAACAGCTTTTTATAGTTTACATATAAGAAATAAGACTTATTTTTTTCATTATTTATATTTCATTTTTTTTTGTATTATAAGACGACTAATAAATTCATTTTAATCAGTTTCTAGTTTAAAGTAAACAAAAGTATTTATAGAGCTCTGTAAAATGAAATCGCTGATCGGGGAATCAAGGTAAATTACTACAAAACAATAATGCTTTATTTAAAAACACTCTGTCACATACACATGTTATTCAAGAGGTATAAACATATGCAAATTACAGTTGTTCTGAATAGTACTTTTTACTATTTATTTGTCTAAGATTTTTTATGAGAATAATGTTGTAGAGTAGATCAAGTACAATATTTAAATTTGCGTGATCATCAAAAATTGATACTTGAGGGTCTCGGATGGGGTCCTTCAATTCTGTATTCTTTAATTCTTTAGGTCATTTGTTTATTAATTATTTTTTTTGCTCATTATTCTCTATACTTTATATTTCCGTACCCTATTATTCTTTATTTCTTTGGCAATTTTTTCTCTATTCTTTATATTTTTTGCACTTTATTCTGCACATTTTGTCAACTATTCCTTCTATATTCTGTTAACCCCATCAAGACCCTCCATAGTTCATAGATCCACCACTTAAAATTATATAGGAATGAAAGGAGATGTGTGGTGCACGTCAAATCTACACAATAGCCACAATATGTCTAGAGGTAAATAATAGTTTCATGCTTTCGGAAGCTTTTATTCTGAAGTCATTATTCAGTTATGTTAGGTGTTTTTTTGCACTTTGGTACTAAAAAAGAAATCTTGGATTAATCGTTTTGTTTCTTTCACAAAATTAAGTACATTCACAAGCTCCTATCCTTAAACTTAGTTTTACGAATCATACAATTAAAGAACAATGTAAATTTAATCAAATAGTTAATGCTATGCGACAAGCGTAGGTATATATACATATGTTGGCACCACTGCATTGATATCTTTAACATGTTTAAGGAAAATCAATTTTGCTATAGTATCCAAACTGACGATAAGTAACTTTTTCTCGTGAGATTTATGAATTCATCGAAATGAACAATTATAAGTCTATCAGTTTTCTATGTACATCTTACATTTACTATATAAACATGTAGCAATCAATATAAAATGTATAATGTTCATAGATTTAAAACGAAGATGTTGGTGCAAAGTGAATGTGTGCTTATGACACCATATACCCCGCTCGTACTATCACATTTAATGTTCCGTGATACGTGTAATTTTACTCAAACTCTACTTAGTATTTTGGCATATATAATTAACAAATCACATAAGAAAACACATGTATAAAGTTTAAAGTTGAAGTGACCACACACTACCTATAAGTAAACTTTAACCTTTCACATTACCATGTTTAGGAAACCATGATATGAAATTTGTGATAAGACCGTAATTTGGCATATATATTTAAACATTTCATTTCATAATGAACATGTGTATCAAGTTTTAAGTACATGTAGTTCCTCAAACTACCTTAAACCAAAACTTTAACCTGAAACAGGATGGACGGAAGCTCAGACCTGAAAATGTTCGTATGCTATCGTAGGCGGGGCATAATGACAAACATATTAAAAGCTTAGGTCATACAATGCCAAGATGTGGCCAAAATGACCTTCCTGAATCTTTACAAATAGTTACAAAAATAAAGACATTTACGCCAATTTTATCCTATTGATTCTACATATTGAATTACGTTTCATTGATTTCAATTAATCTTCTATAACGTCAACTTTTCACCGACACACACTTCTCGTCATTGTTATTCTTCAACTTTCATCTTTTCCATTTAGAAACTTTGAATCTTTATTTCATTACACTCACAGTCGTACTTGGATAATGGGTTTACTTCTGTTCGTAAGCAATAGGTAAGCATGATGTTTTTAAATGAGGTGCAAAACTAGCAAACAATATTTTATAATAAGCATTTTAAAC